TTTTTTATTTGCTCAAATCTTCAATTTTCTGTGCCCAGTCAAAATACGGAAAATCGGCCGCCATCTTGCCCCACGACCGAGTTTAAAGAGGAATGGCTCTAGCGGGTAATGTGACGTCAAATCGAGAACACGAAAGTCTGCATTTCACACATTTTCACTTGTTTGGGAAGGTTGTCGTCGATATTGTCCGAAATATGCCGACTAGGTGTGTTGTATGAGGAATGTATGAAGCGCGATACCCTCTTGCAAATTTCGCACGTTGCTACATCCTTCTACAACACACTTAGTCGGCATATTTTCGGACAATATCGACTACAACCTTCCCAAACAAGTGAAAATGTGTGAAATGCAGACTTTCGTGTTCTCGATTTGACGTCACATTACCCGCTAGAGCCATTCCTCTTTAAACTCGGTCGTGGGGCAAGATAGAGGCCGATTTTCCGTATTTTGACTGGGCACAGAAAATTGAAGATTTGAGCAAATAAAAAATTTTTGCACAGAAATACTCCAAAAAATACGCTTATTTCGTTAAGCGAAAAACAAATTTTGGGTTTAGGTGCACTTTAACTGCTTGTTGTTACTTGACAAGAATATGAACTCTTTACTAAAGACGTAATAGTTTTACACCTGAAAACAAGCAGGCGAAAGGCTAAAAACGAAATAAATAACTTTAACCCATTTCAACAACAACAGCTACAACAAAATTCCTCGACCCACTTGAAATATCCACCAGTGATCGTTTTGAATTTATTGTTGTATCCATGTTACGTTCACGTTTATAAGTTGACCAAATTTTACTTGTCTAACGTTTCTAGGACAATAAACCAATTCTTTATTGTCGCTTGAAAAGCAAGGTTTACATTCTGTAGCATATGTTAATTTATGTTTTGTATTCACTTTTATGCAGACTGCTTGGTGAATATCCCTGATGCCTCGAGCAAGAATCAAATAGGAAAGACTTTGATCCAATTGAAATACTTGATAAATTCCGAGGTACAAAACCGGATGTAACACATTTCTCTCAACAATATTTCGATTCATAGCTAAGATTGACACGTTAAATCAAGGACTGAAAAGTTGTTATTCGCGATTTTATTGATGCCGAGGGCTGTTTAAAATCTAAAATTTTTCCCACCAAAAAACCTTGGAAAAAATAGGGGGGCTTATAGTTTGTATGCACCGATTTTTCTTCATTTATTCTGTAAGTAACATATGTTCAAATGTGGCGAATTTTTCCTCCAAAGACGCATGCGCCAACTTTTTTTTCGGAAATTATTCAAGTAACATTTTCAAAATATAGTCCAAATTTAATTTACATAGCGTTTTCTTCTTCGAAGGTCTAGTCTGAAGATGTCTCTTTTTTTTTTAACTGTACATATCTTATTGTAATAATTTTTTTTTTTTTGGTTTGATTTTTCTTTGTAATAATATACTGTAGCTAGTCATTAGTAGGCGAAGAGCCACCTTGTGGAAGTACTACTAATAAAGTCTATTATTATTATTATTATTATTATTATTATCATCAACAAAATTTTCATACGTTATTTACTAAATTCAGTTTAATTTTCGTACTTCGACTTTTCTTATGACTTCGTTTCAATCTTGATTCTATCAAATCTTTTGAAAATTGCTAGTGAGAACTTCTTCATTAAATTTTTTTCTCGTCTTAAAGTTATGTTTTTCTTCTCGTTCATAGTTTAGCAATACATGTACCCTGTGCCTTTGTGCTCTAGGCTTCTCGAGTTACCTTATAGGTAAGTATCTGGACTACTTGAGTTTTTTTTCCAAATTTATGGTGCTCTTTGTTTTATCGTGTAGTACATGCTTAGAAGATATACCACAACAAGTAACAAAGAACGACATGAATGTTCTATTCTGTCATTTAATGGCGTGAGACGTGTTATTTATTCGATGCATTCATTAGATTTGCAGGGTCGTGATAAGGAAATGAAAACTGAAGCTGAAAAATAAGATTGGAAAGCTGGAATGTGGAAACCACGGAGGGATTTATAAGAAAGTAGCTAAACGTAAGTTCTTTATTGTGTTGTTTTACCGGTAGTTCAAATCAATTCACGACAATTAGACACAGTGAAAGGCGCCAAAATACTCCTTGTACGCTGCCATTGTTTGAATTATTTCAAACTATTTCGTTGATATGGCATTGGTACAGACATTTATTTGTTTTCTTGCTTCTTGATTACTGATTACTGTTGCCCAACTCTTGGAACCAATTGCTCAATTTTAATGTAACATCAAAATTCGGAGATGGAAAACAAAAATGAATAGTGGGATTTCATGGATAATTCCTAAACGAATCTGAAGGAATTGGCGTTTAACAAATGTAAACTTTCGTGAATACAAGGTTCAAACGCTAAAAGGGCTCAATTAAAAAAATAAAAAGGGAAAGGGCCTGGGGCAAGCAATATCATATCACTCTCTAATTTCACAGGTGGACACGTTAATTTTAGTAGGTGATTTCATTGGCTGGTTTTTCCTTGGTCTCTTAAATTTTCTGTAGTTTTGCATCTTTCATGCCGGGTAAAACGATATTTTCAGTTACTGAAACTGTTGACATTCAGCCAAAAATTTACGAATTACTCGGAAAGGAAACTCGTGTAGCTTGACGCTTTCTATATCACCACACAGATCTTTCTTGGTAGTTTCCAGGGCCTAGTTGTATAAAGGGCGAATGACATTATCCAACGGATAAATCGCTATTCAGCGGATAAGGGATTGCAAAACGTTTTGCGCTATCCCCCGGATAGAGGTTTATCTAGTGGATAGCATCATCCAACCTTCGAACAACCAGTGCCTGTACTATTTTCTTTATAATCACCTGGAGTCTTATTTGCAAAGTTTACCGGGCTGCGATTCTTGAATCTGAAAAGCAATTGTCTCCTCTGGTATAGCATTTTTCTTGTAGAATCTGAAACGGTTGGATAATCCTTGAGTATTTGGAACTAACAAATGTCGTAGAACGAATTTAAGTCATTTGTTTAAGAATCATCTCAATACAAGTGTTAAGTTACTAGATTTCGAGAGTGTTTAACGTAGTTAAATATTGGAGAACCCTTAACACCGTCTCAACCAAAACAATGCACTTTTAATTTGAAAAAGAACATGGATTTTGTGGGAGATTTTAGTGCACGAGGGTGGTTCTGAGAAGAAATGTTGATAATAATAATAATAACATTCTTTTAATAATATCAAACTTTATTAACACTCAAAGCAAATAACTATTACAAGTTAAAAGTAAAAACGACCTAATAGTAGTTCCGATTTCAATTAAAATCCTATTTACAATCAAATCCTTTTCATCATCATCAATATTATTATTGTCGATGCAAAAATAAAAATGCGTCTTCATTGTTCGAGAGATAAAATTACACTAGCCCTAAAATATAATCATAATAATTTAATAAATTCACAAAAAGGTAGAAACAAAAAAAAAGAGAAAGTATATATAAAACTTGGTAAATTCACAAAACTACGTTGGACAGGCGGTAGCGTTGTCGAGGGAGAAGTCCAAGTCGATGATATCAAGGGTTCTTCTGATGGATCGTGATCCTCTCAGGCATAGCAAAGCTGAACGAATGAGCGCAAATGACACCTTGGCTCTAATCCATGACATGGTGCTTGCATAACTCTCTCCCTTCTTATTTGATACTAACTCAGCTAAACGTTTATGGTATATTTTACATTCTGTGCCCATTCCGCCTGTTGTACTAAATATTAAATAATATTATAATGTAATTATAATATAATTATAATATAATATAATTATAATATAATATAATTATAATATAATTATATTTATAATATTATAATAATAATATTAATAATAAAAATAAATAATATTTGAAGAGGAGGTCTCCAATCACCCGAAGGTGGTTTTCAGGGGGATCCTCTAAAAGTAAAAATTAAAATTAAGATAACAGATGACATTAAGGACTAAGACAAAATTATGCAGAGGGCTGTGATCTCTCGGGAACACTAAATATCTATCGGACATTTAAAGTTGTAATACGAACAATGAACATCGCTTTCTATTTAACTCTTTGCCTTCAAAAATTCTGTGGATTATTAGAAACTTAGGAAGTGATCGTCACTAATTAAGTCTTTCATAGCCGAAATAAGTAATAGGTCTTAAAAGATTTTATAACGACGATTTTAGATTCGGATACCCGAAATACCTATTTTTTTTATTTATCGAGGGTTTTTTTTTTTTTCACTATAGTTAACAGGCTACGCTCATGCGCCCCGTCATACTATTCTGACTGTCTGTAGCATACAAAAGTTTTCAACTGCTGCATAATAATAATAATAAATAATATTTGAAGAGGTCTCCAATCACCCGAAGGTGGTTTTCAGGAGGATCCTCGAAAAATAAAAATTATAATTAAGATAACAGATGACACTAAGAATTAAGACTACAAACTAAGGTTTAAAATTAAGAACTAAGATTGAAACTACTAACTAGAGGTTAAGATAGTTCAATAGAAGCTGTTTCAATTTGTGTTTAAAAATCGTTTTTGGCAGCAGTCTCTTGAGCTCACCATAGTTAGTAGAGGGGTCCCCCTCTACTAACTATGAGCTCATTCAGCAGTAAGGTCCAATCGTTAATTGCTTTATAATGTTTTGTTTCTGTTCCATTCCGTTCTTAACCTACTGACTTTCGGCAGGTAGCCATTTCGGGTGTTATAACCGTCTTGTTGGCTCATTGTAGAATAGAATACATCGAGATGTTCAAGGATCTCACCCTCAATGCATCTTCAGTATATTGTTGTCATTAAAAATCACTGACTTTTAGAGAGCTAAAGCGAAATTCTTCTGTCATTTGATTAAGAAGTTTCTAGTTTATTCGATTGTTACTTTGTAATCTGGTTAGCTTTTATGATTATCTCTAGCGAAACCACGGACGCTTTAGAAAAAACAGACCCATTCTAATATATGACTTCTCGAATAATCTTTCCAGCCGAAGCCAGATATGTTACAGCTATAAAGACCCTAACAAGATCAGTGGTATAAGATGTTGAAACTTCGAATCGGATCGGCGCATAAATCAAGCCAATCCATTACAATAGAACGAGGTTAAAATTTTCAACGAACGTTACCCTAGGTTTAACATTACAAAATCGTTGAGTTGATGTAGCGACATTTTCAAGGTACTGTGTTTGCCTTTTTGCCCTTATTGCTAAGTTCCGGGAACATCCCAGATAGTCACAAACTTTTTTGAAACAAATAAACTTTAGCGCTGAAGGAATTAAAAAAATGCTTTGGAAAAGGACAATGGGAAATTTCGTGAAACTATGTTGAAAGGTTTTCGGTTTAAAAGGGATATTTCTCAACCAAGTTGCATTAAAAACGGAAATGTTTTGCTTAAAAATTGTACAGATATAACTCAAATATGTTTTAGAAACAAATGTAAACGTAATTTTCATCAGAAATAAGCTCATACACGTTGTAAATTGCTGAATTTCGTGGACATTTTCAATTAATCAAATATTGAAGACATAGGATTAGGTGTTAGAATTAAAATGACATACTTTTTAAACCTTAACAAGGACTTAATTTAAATATATCAACAAAGTTGAAATAGTAAATTGGCCACCGTTACGATTATAAAAGCTGACGTTTCGAGCGTTAGCCCTTCGTCGGAGCGAATAGGGGAATTGTGGGTTGTGTGTGGTTTTGAAGGCAGAAAAAGGAGCTACGTGATTGGTGGGAACATGGCAACGAGAAAAGTTATTCGTGTTTTTCTCGTTGCCACGTTCCCACCAATCACGTAGCTCCTTTTTCTGCTTGTAAAAGCACACACAACGCACAATTCCCCTATTCGCTCCGACGAAGGGCTGAAATTTAAGTTAGAAATTTAAGACTTTGACAAACTTTTGAATGATCTACTTACTACTGTTAGACAAAAGTTTGAATGACTTACTAACGACCGCTAGACTTTGAAAAACGTTTGAGTGACTCAGTTACTTACTACTGTTAGACTTCGACAAACTTTTGAATGACTCAGTTACTACTACTCTTAGACTTCGACAAACTTTTGAATGACCTACTTACTACAGTTAGACTTTGACAAAAGTTTGAATGACTTACTAACGACTGCCAGACTTTCACAAACGTTTGAATGATTTACCTACTACTACTGATAGACTTCGACAAACGTTTGAATGACTCAGTTTCTACTACTGTTAGACTTTGACAAACTTTTGAATGATCTACTTACTACTGTTAGACAAAAGTTTGAATGACTTACTAACGACCGCTAGACTTTGACAAACGTTTGATTGACTCAGTTACTTACTACCGTTNNCGCCTAATAAATATGAAAGACGAATTATTCATTCTGTCAAGAGAGTGGGGTAAAGAAACTTATTCCCTTGCTCATTAAGGTCATATCTCTAGCATCTTTTAGCAAAGACATGTTAACACGGGTAGAAGTCCGTGTCTGAAAAACGTCGACTGCTTAACCTTCCTATTTCGCGCCAAGAACGAAGGCCTCGATCCAGTCTTACGCGGCTTCTCTGCCGTTCGTGTTGTCAAGAACGTCTGGTGCTTAAGCTCTCTAATTACTATTGTTAGACTTCGACAAACGTTTGAATGACTCAGTTACTACTACTGTTAGACTTTGACAAACTTTTGAATGACCTACTTACTACTATTAGACAAAAGTTTGAATGACTTACTAACGACCGCTAGACTTTGACAAACGTTTGAGTGACTCAGTTACTTACTATTGTTAGACTTCGACAAACGTTTGAATGACTCAGTTACTACTGTTAGACTTCGACAAACTTTTGAATGACTCAGTTACTTACTACTGTTAGACTTCGACAAACTTTTGAATGACCTACTTACTACAGTTAGACTTTGACAAAAGTTTGAATGATTTAATAACGACTACTAGACTTTCACAAACGTTTGAATGATTTACCTACTACTACTGTTAGACTTCGACAAACCTTTGAACGACTCAGTTACTACTACTGTTAGACTTTGACAAACGTTTGAATGACTCAGTTACTTACTACTGTTAGACTTCGACAAACCTTTGAACGACTCACTTACTACTACTGTTAGACTTCGACAAACGTTTGAATGACTTACTAACGACTGCTAGACTTTGACAAACGTTTGAATGACTCAGTCACTAGTACTTTTAGACTTCGACAAACCTTTGAATGACTCACTACTACTGTTAGACTTTGACAAAAGTTTGAATGACTTACCAACGACTGCTAGACTTTGACAAACGTTTGAATGACTCAGTCACTACTACTGTTATACTTTGACTAACTTTTGAATGACTCAGTTACTACTATTCTTAGACTTTGACAAACTTTTGAATGACTCAGTTACTACTAATGTTAGACTTTGACAAAAGTTTGAACTACTTACTAACGACTGCTAGACTTTGAATGAGTCAGTTACTACTGACTACTGTTTGACTTTGACCAAACGTTTGAATGACTTACTTCTACTGCCGCTAGACTTTGACAGTTTTTTTTAAGGATGAAGTTACATTCAGTACTTCCACTGCTGTTAGACATTGACAGATTTTTTACTACTACTACTGCTGCTAGACTTTGAACAACTTTTTTATTACAACTACTACTTTACTTTGACAGACTCTAGAGTAAATGTTTCAATTGCACTACATCTGCTAGACTTAGACAGCTTTTTTTAAAGAGACATTTCATTTGTACTGCTAAAATTTGTGCTACTCCTAACAGATTTAAAAAGAACTCTTGACTTGCGCTATGATTAGAACTAGACTGATCTTTGAAGTATTTTCAAATCGAATTTTTACGTCAAGTCTTTCACAGATTCAACAAAATGTTTTCGCTTGCAGTTGTTCTACTGTTTGCAAGACTTTCACATGTTAGTTTTGAATGACTTTAATTTTCACTTGCACTTCTACTGAAAGAGTGAGATATTTTTGAACGACTTTTCACTTGCACGTTTAGAACAAACTTTTAAACTACTAAAATAAGCAGATTTTCCGGGACATTTTGCTTTCTCTCCCAGAATCACGGAGAAATTCATGAAACTTACTCAGTCTGACATCGACATGAATAGAATCTCAAAATCTAATATCTCTGCTAAAATACAACGTACAAAACATTTCTTACTTGACAATTCCTACCATTGACTTAAAAAACACGGACTTGAAAACTTTCTCTCGTTTCTTTCTTCAACAGAGAAATTCAAACAACCTGCAAAAAAGAAAGCAAGAATGTAAGGTGAACACAATAGAACTATAAGTCTCAGGAGGACGAGAGTTACTAGCACCAATCGCAGTTGTTTCAATGAACAATGAGAGTCAACCTACTTCTAGTGTATTTTTGCCGCGCTTTCTTACCAAAAGCCTCTGTGGTCTAGCGGTAGTGCACATTTGATAACTCAAATTAAACGACGGCCGTATCCCGCCGTCGTTTAATTTAAGTTGTTAAAGCAACCACAAGGGGCCCAAGACCCCGTTCGTCGGTTTTCTTTTTCCTTTTAATCTTTAAAGGAGCAGAAATTAATTTAATTTTGAGAGCTCCTAGAATTTTTATTTCGATTTTGTTTTTCAGAAGAAAATTCTTGAAGCTGTCAAAACTATTTTTCCTCCTTTTTAAGGCTAAAGCTCCTTGGAATTCCAAGATCACAGCTTACGTTTAAACGACGATGGGAGGATACGGTCGCCAAACGTGCTAAGCACAAGAACTACCACAAGAACACAATGGCGAATAAAAAGCAAAGGCTAACATAATAAAAGAAGATTGTCTCTGGGAAAAAATTTTTGAAATGTAAAAATAACCATCGTTAATCATTCGACATGCAGATAATTTTCCCTTTAAAAAGCATTCAAAACTTTTTCTAGGAGACGGTTCGTTTGTTTCAAATTTCTGCGTTGATGGACACTTTTTTGACTTGTCTGCTGTAAGAGTTACATTTTATTCTTAAGAAATTAGATACGGTCCATAAGACAATCTCAAATTTATTTTATAAGTAATTATTATTTGCTTGAAATTAAACAGTTCTAATAACTTCTAGATGTTAGTTTGAGAAGTGTTAAGAAGTATTTATATTTTATTTTAATTTCATATTTTTATGTTAAATTTTTCAAGATGAATTTTTTAACTCCGTTCAAGATTTTGCAATTTTAAAAATCCTTATTCATAGTTAAACATTTCGGTCTCTTTCGAAAAAATGATTAAGTTAAGAAAGGTCACTATTTTCAATCTGCACAATTTAAAACAAAAATTTCCTCTCTCTTTGTCACGGGTAGACAGATAGCGATAGACGGCTAGAGCACCCAAGGAACATATCTTATTCTCTCTTTAAGACTTCGAAACTCAACAAGTGTGCAACGATGTTACATAACGTACAGAAAATAAATCATTGAAAAGGAAACTTTTTCAGTTCCTGGAAAACCAAAAAATCCGTCGTAACTGCACTTTTAGATTTTTCCTTGTGTTTCCTTTTGCTTGAACACTTCCGTGATGATGGAAACGTACCGTTAAAATATCTGTTATCATGGATTTCGGTTCGATCTGTCTCATTCATTGCAAAAACATTCTCATGGTTTTATTACAGTGAATTGCTTGAGTTGGAAAAGATTTCAGTTCTTTACAATATTTTCTAAAGTTGTTTACGTATTACTTTTTTCATCAATGAATTATCCCTTTGAAAAAAAAATTAGCCTCTTTTTTGTTTCAAGGTTCCATTATCCAGTTGTCACGATCTCTTTCTATTAGTTAGACATAAGGTATGTTTGCCAAATGAGTTCCTGTATTTGTTGATTTAAACTTCAATTTCACCCATGGAAGCACTAATTTTGTTTTATAGAGTAAACCACAACTTTTCCTATGAAGCTAGGAATTTTTCCATTATCCAAGCGTCATTTAGTTTCTTTTGAAATGCTACAAAAGGGGTCGAAACGTCAATATCATTTTGTGTGTGTGCTGATTTGAAGCCCTAGAGCGAAAAGAATAGTATTGTAATTTGTTTGATAACAACTCTTTGACAAACCTCAAGACGCTTTCCCTTGGTGCACACAACTCTTACTAAAAGCTGAAGGCTGCTCAGTCCAAACGCGACTCCTCAGTCCCCAATTATCTTATTTCTTGATGCATGCTCAAATGAAGACATGCAGGCAGTGCTTGAAGCCCTATCAGAAACGCATACCTCACTGATGTAAGGAAAATATTTTCAATTCCGATAACAGGTTTTTTGTACTTCCTGAAAAATGAAATTCACGTCGTTCGTAGATAGATCTTGTTGACCTCAAGACATCCAAACTTTCCTTGAAAACTAGATGACACATCTTTTTCAGCGGTCTTGTTCATAAAAATTCGTTGATGGTGGATTCAGTGCTTAAAACAGAGGATGCCCTGGAGCATATTAACTATGCTTGGAGTGAGAGCTCATCCTTAAAAAAAGTGAATGATATCAAATGATATCGTTTGTTTGAAAGTATTTTTTGCATTATCATTATTAAAGAAAGTCTCCAGGTCAAGAAATTCATTTTTAAACAAATTAGACATGGCATGGACTCCGGGGGAGGGGGGGGTACTTGATATATTCCTGGGTGGGGAGGTGCGGCGCGGCCCCTCATACCCTGACCCTGTTTAAGACAAATATCGCTGATTTTCCTACCCTATTTAAGACAGAATTCCGATTTTTGATACCCTGTTTAAGACATTTAATGTGCCTGGTATCAATGCCAAAATAAACGGAATTCAATATTAATTAAAATTAGAGCTTGTAAAAATTTTGCTGTTTATCTTCCAAAAAAAGGTATCCTGTTTAAGACAAAAAATTGATAAATCGATACCCCGATTAAGATGTTCGGGCCCGGACCCGCAGTGGGAGGATCTCACGCCCCCCCCAGTGAGACTGGACTTATGACGGGACCACCCTACTGAGGACATTTTGCTCTGTTACTATTATGGTATATAAAAATACGTGTGGTTTTCGCTTGAAATTATTTTAGTAGTCTGAACAAGTTATTTTAGTAGTCTGAACAGAACATAAGACAAAAAATGATAAATTCGATACCCTGTTTAAGACAAAAATCTCGAAAAACATACGCTGGCTGGCCGCACGTCCCCATTAAGCCCTTATAAGGGAGTATCCCCCCGGGCATGGACTGGGAGGGAGCTTGGACTTTGCGGCTTAGTTTTAAATATGACATCTGTTGTTTGTGTCAATAAAAAGCACAAGGACAAAAAGAAACGTTTTATAGAACGAAGTCAATTTGAAGGCCAAGAAAAAATAAAAGAGGTATCCCTTACACTAAACAAGTTACTGTCTTAGTTTACATCAGGAGGTCACGATCTCTCTCGTCAAATTTTTTGTTGGTCTACTTTTATGTAACAGACTGGTAAAGGTAAAGTTTGGTAAAATATTGGCTTTTTCTGAATGTATGGTGTTGAATAAAATTAACTTTTGAAGGACCTTAATAGACAGCTTAGAATTTTCTTGTTATTTCAACTAGAAGTTGTTATGGCTTTTGTTTATTGATTTCGTTTACATGTATTAACAAATCTTGAAAGAAATTAAAAAAATTTTAGACTCTATCTCGCTCTTTTTAGTGCTATTATATGACTTTCCCCAATGCCTTTCGTTCGTTTGATGATGGATACCCAGTTATTTGAATCACAAGCTACTTGAGGATGAACATTTTTATGCAATATCTGTTTTTCGGGTCTGAAACAATAACGTACATTGATTTGATTATTTATCTCTTGCATCATGTGCTTCACATCAAAAGACTTTGCTATGATTTTGTCGCAACAGTTTCGAGTTACAACTGGTTAAACATTTAAGATTTCAGTAAAATGACAGGTACAATCCAGGTTTAAAAAGCTGTTTTGGGGTTAGAGGTTGTCTTTCTTGATAAAAATCCTCTTTCACTCAGGAAAGGTTTTTCTCTTGCAAAAAAGCCCGCGGCTCTGATTAGCAATAAGGCAATTTCATTAAGCTGTATTAAAAAATTCGTTTTACAAGGCATCTTGAATGCGAAAGATGTTAACCGTGATTTTGCTGCACAAGCTGAAACATCAAATCGATGGTTTTTATGGTAAAACGAATAAACCGAAAACAAACACATCGTTACCTCTCTGTTAAGAATTCCTTTCGACAATCTAGAAACCGTATCCCTATGAACATCACATGACATTCACAGAAGAACTTCTTTTCAAATTGTAGACGTTTAAGGAAATAGTTCCCAACACTAGAGTTGTTCTATCTAATTGTTGTGGCTTGCTTGAGGTTGATACTTAAGGTCTTTTCTAAACTGGAAACTGGAAAGCAGAAAAAGAAATAAGTGTTGTTTCCAAACAAATCCTGAAAAGTAGGGATAGCGATTGCATTCCTTCGCTTTATTTAGTCCACTCATATGTCTTGCAAGGTTTTCCACCTTTTTCTTTTATGACGAACACATTGCTTGAAACACTAAGCGCTAACACAGCTGTCTTAAAATGAAAATTTGTATTCTTATCAAATTAAAGATGCGAAATTTCTCTCTTTATAGCTTAAATGCATTGCTCCATTTTCTCGACACAGTCTGTTTCTTTGCAATATTACCGTATACAATTGTATCTTTTGTTTTTAAAGATTTTGATTTCATTCAGTTTTCAGCAACAGTATGGGGTGATAGTTATTCTCCTTTACTTTCATCATTTTTTTCTATCCAACTTTAAAAAGGCTGTTTCTAAGATGAAAACCTGTTTTTCTTCGTCAAAATCAAGTCCTCTCTCATTTAGCAAAGTTCTTTCCTTAAACAAATTCTTCCTAAAAATATCCTTTAAACCCTTTACTAACAAATTCTTTTTCAAATCGTTACACTTAGGAACTTGAATGTGAGAAGAACGCATATCCTTAATTCTGCTGTACAATGATAAAATATCTTCTGCTGGTTTTTGCTCGAAAACGGCTAAAGTACCAAAAGAAACTGATATTGCAATCTCTCAAGGGAGACCTCATTTTAAAACGCTGATAATTAAATCCTTGAATTAATATGACATTCAATGAAAACAATCTTTTATTCTATCTGTAGAACTTTAAAGCTAAAGTTACTCATTCTAATTGTTCCGTTCCGTTTTGACGTAGAACTATTTGAGAGGTACGTGTGGAAATGTTCCAGGCCCTCCCGCGGCCCGCAGAAGGCAGCAGTGGGAAGAATCAACCCCAGACGGATGCCAAAGAGAGAAATTCATGGAAAATATTTGTTATTTCCACAGTAGCTTTTTCTAACTTAAGAAAATAAGCAGACTAATCGAGGTTTGTTCGCAACGCTTTCACCGGATTAAAAATCATTTGATGACATTCAGTGTTTGAAACAATGAGAGTGAGGTTCCGTCGCTTGGAAATTAAATAATGTTCAAATGACGTCCTCGACGTGTAAACTTTGTATCGATATTCTCACCATAAAATTTTGTTTCTGATTTTGAAGAAAGAGACCGACTTGCAGTTTTTATATTTCAAGATAAGAATTTCAGTCTTCATCACCAAAATGTCGCACATTAAGTTACCTCCTCTCTGCTCAATAAAAAAAAAAGCAAAAAAACAAAAAACAATTTTCAACCTGGAACTGATGTATTTCTCTCTAAGGAAAACCAATCAAACATTTCCTTTTTAAAAGTTATCATTGGCAACGTGGATGTAGAAGACTGATCTTTATGTTGCTGTCCAAAGATCAGCAACATAAAGATTACCAAAGATCAATAAAGATCATAAAGATTACCAAAGATCAATATTTTAAAATCTTTTGCCGATCAACAGCTTCAGCGAGGGAAAAAAACAAGTGGTTATTATACTATAATAAGACCTCCTTCCAAATAGCACACGACGATACTTTTAGGAGATAGTTCACAGTCTGGCTCGTACAAAAATAACTCCCTAACTGTTCCTCTTTGTTTTACTGTAGTATGTTCATAGAGGTAATTCATTCCCACGTACTGTTTTTTCTAAGAGGAGGGTTGAAAAACTGCAATTCTTCAGTTATGCTTTACCAAGAGAATTAACTGAGGTGTATATCTTTGTAACAATATTTTCGTAGTGAAAACGTCAATTGATTGGTTCCTCCAAAAATTCCTTGAAAACATCAGAGATACAAATTCTTGTACTGTCTTCAAAAGTGACTCACATTATTTGTTCTGAGGCATTTAGCTGCCTAAAAATTTTTGTTTGATGATGAATACATTTAATGATGGCGAAGATACGTTGGAGGGAAATTTCATCCTAAAAAAAAATTACTTATGTTCAATTCAAATTGAAAAAAAAAACAAAAAAACTAATCACTCTCTTGGTAGTTCCCCTTATCTGTTTAGAGCTATTAAAGACTGTTAAATATTCATGTTTGGTGTATGATTTCTCGCCTAAAAATGCTGCATTTGAACAGAAAACTGTATTAACCTGGTCGATCAGACAACATGATATGCAATACGCTATGTGGTAGTTTAAAACGTGAAGTGTCCGAGTCGGATTAATCTTCAGGTGTCAAGTTATTGTTTGACTAATTAAAAATATTTACGAAATTTAGTAATTTATCTGTTGCGTGAACTTTTTTCATTTGAAGGTAACTTTTTGACTGGATTTAACTGTTCATTTTGTTTACCAAACTTTTCTTTCTCTACTGGAAAACTGATAGGTAATTTTTTAGCTGAAAAATGTTTTTCTTTAATTTTTTTAGCGCTGACAAATATTCCTTGAAAGTTTTCCCACAGCGAAAAATATAACTTACAAAAGTTCTGACTTTCCACCTTCTTACTTTTGTAAGAATCTGGAATAATCCTTAAGTTTGGGAAAAGAAAAAAAAAGCCAAAAAAAGAACGTTGACATCATCAGAATAATTTGAAGAGTCAAAATGATTAACAACTATTCGCTGAAGGCGAAATGAATGATTGTTTTGGTAATATTGCTTGGGTTCTCTCAAATTCGGTTGTAAGTTCTTTTTGTTTTTGAAGGCATTCTCTAAATAAGGAATACTTTGCTCATGTTTTGTTACAAATGCTTTGATTGCTCGTATTGAGATAAATAGCTAGTTTCTACTAGAATTTAACAGCAAAAACTTCTTTCCTACTTTTGAAAAGTGTTAGGCTAAAGTTAGTTGCACCTTTTTCTTTCTAATTTCTGAATTGAATCTGAAGTTATCTCCTAATTCCTCGGTACAATCAATAAAACGTGAAACAGTCATTTTGAAATAAAGTACCCCTGCTAGAGGTGATCATTGCGAGATATGACGCAATCCTCGGCCAATCAGAACGTCAGCATCTCAATGGCCACCTGAGCAACTATAATAATGAGTATTTTAGCGGCGTCTTTAAATTCTTATCGCAATGGATTGCTTTGAATTACTCTCGCATTACATGCATTATCTGCTGTATATACTCAGTAATTTATTTGAAAATGACGTTTTAACTGGTGTTAACTGTTTGTTTGAGCTTACCCTTTTCTTCTCTATTGGAAAGTGTGATGGGTGCTTTTTTTTTTAATTATAGAAACGTTTTTCTTCAAATTCATCCTTTTCTTTTTATCTATTATTATTTCCTTGGAAATTTGTCCAACATCGAAAAACGTAACTTTCAACAGTTTTGATTTTTTTTAACCTTAGCGTTTTTGCAGCAATCAGGGAAATTCCTCGAGTTTGACAGGAACAAAAACAAGACGAGAGAAAAGTTGCGCAATCATCAGATGAGTGAGAACTTTAGCGACGTTCTAATTCCCATTGTAAGGGATTGCTTCAAATTATTAACAAAACAATGATTCAAACAACCTACATTTAGCCGACCTCTCGATCCTTTTTCTGTTCGTTTTCCATTCCATTCATCCAATCCTCCTCGATTCGGTATATTTTCTTCATAATGGGTTGACTAGCACGTATGGTTCGTCAGTTCCCTTCTAGTCTTCCCCACTGCCTTGTTATGTAACCTAATTTGTTATTATTGTGTGTTCTTTTGTTTTATTTTCCCATGTAATTGCAGTGAAATGGAATAAATTAAATTAAATATTCCCTGTTTTTATCCTCTTCTTTTGACCCTGTAAATCCAATGAAACAAATCGACTAATGACATAGAACGCACACGGTTGATTTTCTCTCCTTCAAATGAGCTATAGAACATTCTTTTAACTAGTACCACTGGTGGCATTAAAATCTCACAAAAATCACTAACAACAACACAAGCCAGAAAGTCACGGTGTTTTGGAGGCACCGTATAACTCTTTTGGCGACGCTCAAAACAGAATGGTAAATCAACAACTGAAGATAGCCGTTCTTGAGTAATTTTGTGTTCGAAAAGTCTCGAGTTTTCCTTTTCCCTACTTTTGCTTCCTTTTTCAGATTTCTATGAACATTTCAATTTTCTCTCGCTCATTTTCCGAAACAGCTGTGGTTTGTTATGTTTTCCTTGAAAAATTTGCACGGGAAATGGGCGCGCGGGTGCCGAAAATTGATCTTAATACGCATGCTCGACGTTTGACCGCTGTGTTTTAGAAGCCTAATTTTATCCGATGTTAGTTCGAAGTCAATTTACAGGATTAATTGTCAAGCAATTCGACTGTATTGAGCAGCTTCCCTTGAGTGTTGCTCATGGTGTCGTTTGAAAAAGTAGAAATCGATAAGAACAGCAATTTACAAATAGTTTGATTTTAAGGCTTTGTTTGCTTGCATCAATCTGGAGTATCTCCTGGAGTTCAGCAATTAACAACAGATTCAAGAAAAGAAAACATCTTTAAAAAATGACATAACATAAACGGAATGATTTGCAATAGTCCAATCAATGGCACCATTCGTTGCAATTGAGTATTTTTAAAAGAAATTTATTTACCCCAAATGAAAAAGCTTATGTGTCCTATCTTTTGTAAATTGTTAATTTGCGACTAAGATCCTTAAGTCAATAAGGAAAGACGGGGAGTACTGAAGGGGTCAAACTAAAGAGGAATGGGTCATAGCATCTGAAATTGATTGAGCAATGATCATAGGGACTTTCATAATAATAGACTGTTCTTTGTGCAAGAGTCGCGTGTTTTGATGGCAATTTGCTAAGTCTCCGGTTATACAAGACGGCATAAGGTGTGGCGTGTTTATCGACTTCGACCTATTTGTCTCCAGACCTGACACACTGAGCAATTTGACCCTCCTCCTCCTTTTGTCCTCCTCGTCTTTAAATTTATTCGTTGTCGTAGATTAACACAGGTTTACTGAACTAACCTTTGGCTGAGTTCTCCAGCATCTCTATGATAGATCCCTGTTCCACGTTAACTATCCTCGTTTCCAATCCAAAACTTCACTCCCTTCTCTAGACACTGCAAATCCAATTATAAAGCGATTTTAAAATAACATATGGAACGCTATTAAAGGACAAGGAGCATCAAGATAAGCTTCTAGATAGTCTAAGAAAGGGCTGATACGTGGGCAACAACAAACAAGAACGCAAAGAATAGGATCCCATCATGACGTTAAGTTGACCAGAAAATTTAGAATAGTCCAAAAACTTTAGGCAACTTAACTTAATTTCCTATTTCAAGGATTGCTTTAAACTATTAGCAAAACAGTAAATCGTTTAATTGACTTACATCACTCAGATTTTGTTGGAAAGATTTCCATAACCCCATACATTAATTATGCGTTCCATTTCATAAAGACTAAATATATAGATTTCTTTGCAACACTATGTATAACTAATGTATGGGATTATATGGAAATCTTGCCATTTTTGTTTTATTCTTTATTGTAACCTTGCAATCCTCCTTGTCCATCGCAGTTTTTATTTCTTCCATTGGACACTGAAAGTAAAATAAACAAATCGATTAATTACTCAGTTAAAGCAAAACTTCAACTTCTTAAAATAAGCCCTCCAGTTTTTTGTCAATAGTCGGTCTCGTTGGAGTCTCAGTAGCCGAAACTTTTAGTGATGTTTAGGCTGTACTAATCTGTTATTATAGGTCGGTGATCTACAAAGTTCGATCTATAGTGTTATTTGTGGTTACTCTCAAAATATCCCAATGGACTTGTAACAATCGATTGATAAACAGCCACACATTTAACTCTATGCAGACTTCCGCTCAGATTGATTATCGAAACGAAAGAAAAATCAGTTTCGTAAACCAGCCTTACAAGCTACAGATAGCTATTCAGTCATCACAAACTGAAAAACAGACCTCATTGGATGCTACTCTCTTCTTTTTCCTCCCTTGCATCTCTTGATTTCTACATTTTCGTTTTCATGCTATGCTTGACGCTGCCATAGGAGAAAAAAACATTCATACCTTTCTTTAAATAAGTACTCGTAATAAATAATGTCTTTTTTTCAGACTCGAAAAGAAAAACATAACCGGTAGTTTTTTATCAGATAAACCCTTGGCAATAACTTTAAGGCCATACCATTTTAAAGAAGTATTAATTTTTTTTTTACACCTTTTCAAGATCAGTATTTTCTAAAAAGATATCGAGGTTAAGGGAATATTTGATTGACTTATCCGTCGCCACAGTAGGTAGGTGAGATGGATTTTCATGCGCGATAACCCTTACGTATTTCTTCGACACCAGTGTTTTACCATCAACAGAAACAAAGTGATTAATTCATCAAACCAAAACTGCTGTGGGCCAAGAGATTTTAAAAATCAATTTTTGTGGTGTTTAAGAAACCAGTTAGTTTTTAATTGCAGCCCCGCAGTTAAATCCAAATTTGAGCCCCTAACTCCCACGAGTGATCAAGACAGAATTTCTCCTTACAATATTGATCCAATATCAAGCAGACAAGTGATAAGAATAAAGACAAATATCAACAAGGGGATTTATTGATTGATCCAATACCAAGTTCTCCAAACTGACACCTTAAGAATTGTTTAAAAGTGAGTAAGGAGAACTGCTTATAAGAGAGTGAAAGGGTAGAAGTGTTTAAAGCAGATCAGACGTACAAGCGCCTAATTCGCTATCAAAAATTGAATTACTAACCTTAGAAAAAGTTGTCCAACTTCTATTTCCTTTCTAGAATTTCTTATATCAAGATGTTCTCATTTCATGCTTGACGCTGTGCTGAAGCGAGAGCCAAAACACAAGATACACTTCAAATCAATTTCGAATAGGACTGTACCCTTCTTTTACTGAGTGAGTACAGGTACTGAGTACTGTGAAAGATAAAGCTCGATGTCTAGATCGAAAGAACTCGATCAAGAGATCATAAACGCAACCATTCTAAAACTGTGAAGTAACGTTATACTCGAAATCGCCTAAAAAGTGATTCGAATTAAAAGCCAATCCACGCACACGAACCTAATTATAACTTTCACAGCTGCTACTAGAGCACATTCCGATATCTTTGGTATGAAGATACAGGAGCCCCGTCCCTTGAGTATTCTGATAGATTTCTCTGACAGTTCACTGATACCTATTTAGACTATTTATATTCCCGAGTGGAAGGAAAAATTGTCAGGTTGAATTTTTTGCACCTCTGTACACAACACAACGACACAGCCGAGGTTTAATCCACAGCGTGAGGGAAGCAATGAGCGCGTTTAGAGCAATTCTAATATTGACAGTCTGTGAGCATAAGAAATTATATGTAAAGAAAAAACGAGGATAGAGATTAAAAAAAGCGATAAATAAACTACACAAGCTATCAATAACCTAGCCTCAAAGTAAAAATTTCTCAAAACTGAATCACGTGGCGCAATAAGAACTGTCATGGCGGCTACAGTTGTAAGTTGCGTAAGTCTTATTCTGAACCGTGTATGGTACGCTTTCCTTTTTGTATCCTACCCTGTAATTTAAACTGATTTTCTAGGGCAACGGCGAGTCACTGTACTTCTATTAAATATGTATTTACGCTTAGGTTATGTACCTCAGGAAAGTTTGAGACAAAGTGACAGTCATCAATCCTTGACGTCGAATTTGAGCCACCTTACTCAGCAACTTCGAACGAAGAAAAAAACACACGCTGGAATTGACAGAACGGACCATATCTAAGGTTATAATTCTGAAAGTGATGCGTTTTGTGGCCCAGAGAAGCTGCAAAAGAAGCTAACATTTCTGGAACTCTTTACGCTCTATGCACGTGGCAGACTGATAGAAAATATGAACAAAAACATGAACATCGCTGTGCGAAAACTATTTGTAATTCAAATGAATTTTGCCGACTTTGAAAGGCGAACTGAAAAGCATCAATTAGCTCTTCGGTAACCGTTGTTCAATTACGTAGCAAAATGGGAAGGCCAACTGATAGCTGACTTTGACTTGCTAAATTTCAAAGGGTGCAAATATCGTCGTAGAAATATTGCGTAAAACTCAGATGAGATAAAACTGAAAAGAGGTGAGGGCGCTTGCCTCCCACCACATTAGGTAAAAATGGCGCATGTATCAGTGTCGCTTGCACAAATAGTTTTTTGGTGTATCCACTCTGAACGAGGAAATTTCGTCATGAAAGTTCGTGCCGGTTAAATTTGCTACACTATTACTGCTCAACATTTCATGCTTATCACACTACCTAAAAAGTGTGTGTTTTGTGTTTTCGGTTTCCATGGAAATTAAATTTAGCTGTTTTTACCTGGCCCTAACGCCCCTAATTCGTGTTTCCTCTATATTCCATCTCTGGATGTATACAACAAAACATTTTCCACTGATCTACCATCATTAGCAGGTTTAACTCAAATTCAGCGAGACCCAAGGATATTTTTCTCTAAATCTAGATCAAATGGTGCTATATATAATAACTCTTAGTGTTTTGTGAAAGGTATTTTTTGATACGGTTGTAACTGTGAAGTAATTCTAAATGTTGAGGTGCATCTTGAGGTGCCATAGAGGCTCTACGATGAGCTCTGTCATTTCGAGGTCTACATGTGACACGCATCTTGCACACAGCCACGATAAGTAACGTCGAAGGTGTCATATTAAGACGGAGACAAAACGAATGAAAATCTCTCTTAATCACTTATCTGGACTCAAAATTTATCATCTGCCTTATTTGAAAGGTTGTTGGGAGTTATCAGTCAACCTTAGAGATAGACAGTTATCTGCTTCAGTGTTTTATCTTTATGTAGTACCAAATCAAAAAAAAAGAGAGCCGTAAATTTTGAGTGAGTAAGGCAATGTCCGCTTTTTTGCTAGAATATTCCTAGTAGTCCCACACTAAAAAAATGGTCCATCCAACAATTGATAATAAATCCATTTTCCAAGGTCGAAGATATTTTAGTAAAATGTTTCGTTCAATGAACCAGGCCGAGTTTACGAAACACTTCCGTCTCCAGGGTCTTTTGTTCTCAGAACGGTGGAAGTTACTCGTATCACGTCCCGTAGGCCATGGGTCTGAATGCGAGTTTTTTATTTGCGCGGAAAAACATGCGAAATTGGGCGGAGACACGCCGTCGATTTGGTGGTACTTTTCTTTAGCGTTTCATTCCTTAACTTTTTTAAAATCGTTTTGAGCATTTCGCCATTCGTTGAAGCAAAAGGTTCCGACTAAGGACAAAAGTAATCTGAACGAAATTCATCTGTCACGCGTGAAACAGTTCTGTAGTGAACAGATCATTTGAATCATTGAAGTCATTAAGTCTTCAACATAACCGTTTTGCATTTGGTAAACCTTTATTAAACTGAGAGACAGCACAAAATAATGAGGAATATTTTAACTCTCTTGGGTATGAGTCGAACTTGTAAACCAGCGCTAACAGGATTAATCAATATTGAATAGAGAATACCTCTACGTGATGCTTCCCGTGTTTGAAAATAGCCCAAATAAATATTTTTTATCGTTTTCTGGACAAACGAGGATTAAAAGATGCGAAATGAATTAAAATAATAATAAAAAAAACGTGATCAACATTGTCTTCTCGGGTAATGATTTGGTACAGTATAAAAGAACTCCTTGGCACCTTCCTAAGTGCCTTCCTCGCTTCTTCTTAACAGGTAGAAACTTTTTCTCGCAATTTACCTATCAGTGTGTTTAGGACCTCACTGATTCCCGCGCATCGTCCACAAATTTTTGATAAGTGATTGTATACGGCCTCACAGAACATTAAGAATGGTTGTTGAGGTGTTTGTTTATTAAATTTTAGAAACTTCAAATGAAGTCTCATTTCGTGAAGAGACCGCAGCTTTGTAAGGAACATCGCACTAATTACAGTTTGGGGCAAATTTTCATCTATCTCCTAGCCGCTTTGAAACAAGTCTGTCTCTTTGAAGCTGTAAGTTACATTTTGACTTGAGAGCTCGAATTTAAAAGCTATCCAAAGTTATCCATTAAGATAGCCCAGCACACAAAACCATTTTTCCACGCGGATGCCTAACAAACCATTTCCAAGATTAGTACTTGATTGTTGCTAAGTTTACTGATCTTTTATTTGCAGTTCTTTTATTTCAGTAATGGATGAATTGGTCACAATGGCAAAGTTAATACCTTGATTGCAATAATTTCACCTTGAAGCTTTGTAAAAGAAAGGAAGCTTGATTAAGTGTCGGGAAGATGGATGTATGCAGAGTGTAATTAACGACGTTTGTTTGTTTGTAAAGATGAAATAAACAACTTTTAATATAAGAGAAAAATCGAGTTTCCAGATGGGATTTGAACCCACGACCCTCCGTGATCTAGTCGGATGCTCTAACCACTGAGCTACAGGAGACTCTCTGGTGGGCAAGGGTCAATTAGTGGGTATTGACTGGAACCGCATCACGCGGCTACACAGCCAAACAACAGCTAGCGCATAGAAGCTCACTAACAGCATCACGCTGTCACATCAAAGCATCACATGCATTAAAGCATCACATGCAGCCAACCAGCCCCCAAAGTGAGCATGTAAAGATGAAATAAACAACTTTTAATATAAGAGAAAAATCGAGTTTCCAGATGTTTGTTTGTTTACAATTTTAATAGGAGTTGAGTGGTACGGTATGGTCTTTGCTAACATGGAGTACAGGGTTTCTGCACCTTCCAGATTTACGGGATGTACACCAGCCGTTGCAGGCTCACGAAGAACCAGTCACATTTTTATCGCTCCGACAAAAGGAACGTTTACAACAAACGGTATTTACGCAGTCGAGGAACCGATCAAAAAAGCCCCAAAGCGACCGAAGCCTAAAGACTACGATATCATCTACAAAGCGTACCTAGAGATAAGGGAAGAGAACGCAACGTTAAGGCGAGAGGGTCAACAGTTAAGGGATGAACTTCTGCAAACGAAATCGAAACTTTTGGCAGTTTCCCAGGAAAACGAAGAACTTAAGGCCCAAATTTCTCAGCTTCCGTTCCCTGAAAACTGGGGACAGGTTATCCGCGGAAAGGACGAGGAATTGAAAAGATTGAAAGAATCAATTCGTAAAATGTCCTTCGACCGAGCTGAAGCAATCAACAACAAGTCTATGGTAGAACTGTCTGTCGATGAACTGAAATTAAAACTTCGCAACAAGGATAAAGAAGTAAGAGACGCAAAAGAGCTGGAGAAAATTCAGAGCAAAGCAAAAATTCTCAACGAGACAGAAAAATTGCGAAACGAGAGGAACACCGCCGTCGCCAATCTCACACGTCTGGAAGCTGTTGTTGACAAGCTTCGACAGGATGCAAGCCACAATAAACGAATAAGCGAAGAAAGAAAAATGGTAATCCAAGAAATACACATGAGACTTACAAGCAAGGAAAAACATGTTGACGATTTACGAAAACAGCTTGCTTTGTCACGTCTTTTTAGCAAGTAGGACTCATTAGTCCCTGGTGACACCGCATGTAATTATCATTAGGTTCGTTTTCCGAATTTTGCGGAGAGTAATTTGTGTTGTTCATACGAGAGTACGATAGATCCGAATGTAATTTTTGACCGTCAAACCCGAGACAGACTTGTTTGCCACGGAAACTCGATAGGGAGGTGATTTAAATGGTAATTTAGACTTGTTTAACTCACGAAGCAGCGGCGGAACGTTAAATATTTACTTTTGAAAGTGGAAGCATAGAGTGTTGAACAAACAAGTGAGTATTTTGAATGTAATTGTATTAGCACTGTACGTAAAGAAAGAGTAATAATTTTAAAATGACGTCATAAAATAAAAGAAACATGTCAACTGATAGCGATATGTGCTGTTCAAGGGTGAAGAATGGATCCTCACAGACTAACTAGAATTGATCTGAAGAACACGCAAAACTGTACTCTGAGGAAAAATTCAGACTTCCACGGGGTTCATTCGCGCGCCTACCGGAGATTTGTGAAATGTTATTGAACCTAGTGAAAACTGTGCCACGAAACCATTTAAACAATAGAGTGTTTCTGTCGAGGAACTATAGGCTCATAGTTGCCCCGCGGAAATTTGATGTTCTTAAAACAAATATGCTAGTTTTAAGAACATCAAATTTCCGCGGGGCAACTATCAGACCGATAGTTCCGAGACATAAACACTCTATTGTTTTTATTGTTCACCACTAAATTTTCTTCCGCGCCTACAGCTTGTCACAAATGTCAATAATTCGCAACCGTACCTTGGCTAAATAATACGTTATACCTGTCAGAATTGAAAAGTCACTGTTTTTCCGATCTGCCTAACTTCGCGGCCGTCAAACTATTCAAAACTTTTCACGGATGAGTACTATCAATCCAGGTATTTTCCGCGGACGGGCACTTTCCATCCGGGTATTTTCCGCGGGCGGGCACTATGGGCTGCTAGTCTCTCCACGGATGAACACTATCGCGTCACGTGATCGATTTAAACCAATAAGAACCGGAGAAAATTTAGTGGTGAACAATAACTGTTGATAACGTGTTCTGCTGTAAGCGTCCCTCTCCCGCGCTGCAGTTTCGATCCGTTTTGCATATCCTTTCACATGATCTACCCTTTCCTCTCGCACTCTCAGTAGCGCGCTAACAATCGTTTATGAATCCGTTCATGTCGCGTCATTTATGAAGTGTTGTGATCTTTGTACAAAGGGAACTGAAAACAAAGTCACTTCTGTATTCCAATAAACGCTGAGCAGGGAGCCAACCGAATCCTTTCTATTCTGGACCAGTTTGCCGATACCCACCAACAAGGTCCGGTTGCCAAGGACGAGAGGAACTGGCTGCGAATGAAACAGTCAGCGGAAAAGGGGAATAAAGGAAGGGGAGCGTTGTTCTCCCTACCCCCACCCCCTCCTCGCTCTTTTTCTGCTCGCTTTACTCCTCGCCCATACCTCGATTAAGAAGCCAGCGAGATCACAGGCTAGTTAGCCAACTGACGCAAACTCCTACCCAACAGTTTCCTTTGCGTTCCTTTGTGTTTTCTGCACAGTGCCATAAGGGTCGAAAACTAATAGTGGATGGACATTTATCTCATTAACTCAATCCTCTTATAGAGAATTCCCACGTTAAAACCGCGGTGCAGGTTACACCTCGCCTAAATAACCGGCCCTATTTGTTTTAAATGATTAAAAGTCAAAGTTTTCTCTGCGGTGATGTCTTCTGCGCTCTCTGTCCTAAAAAAGACCATAAGTAAAAACTGGTAGAAAATACACGGATAATTCAGCTTATCAAATAAAGGATTATATCTCACACTCTTATCCTTGTCGATTAAATGTAATGTTTTTTTAACCTTTTTTGGTGATTTATTGATACTCTTGTTTTCACGATGGCAAGAAAAAGTAGCCATATCCAATAACTAAGGAGATTTTGAACCTCTTACAATACGAAAGCAGTTCAATTCAAGTCATTATGTAGCTTTCTTAAGAAGCTTAAAAAAAAATCTTTATTATCATTTATTTGATAATGCAACCGTTTTAATTATATTTCACCAATTGAAATATTCATTTAGAACCACACACGATTTTGTCCTCATCTGTTAAAAAAAAAATCAGGTTGAAAATCGTAAAGTCTTTTCGCATATCTTGCGCAAACTAAAGTATAGCTTCATTATGTTTAGGGGGTTTCATCTTTATCCTAGTTAAGATTGTTGGCCCAAATCAATCAATCTTGGGCAAATTGAAAGACAAGTTCGTTAAATCTTAGAGATGCATTTACAGTTTCTAATGTAGACTCCTGTTACTATTGGAATGTTTCCCACTCAATGCACAAGAGCGCAATGTGACTGGATGTCGTCTAACCAAAACCAAAGTAATTGCAGCAGCCAATAACAACAACAACAACAACAACAAAATGTTATCCGTTTACAAACATAAAGAGGATCCGTGCGGAGAAGCTTAAAAATGCAACAATGGGTTTTTAATGTCACTTATTAGTTTTGTTTTTCCCTTTTAAATTTTCATCTTCTGCGCCATGGTTTGTGTGGCGGCTTCCCAGTTGACTCCAAATTCCAGTCGAGAGTAGAGAAGAGGAATCTTTCTCTCCTGGATCTTTATCCACTTGAGCGCTTTTGTAATGTCTTTGGAATACTCTTTCCCCAAACCAGAAACAGTTAACTAGAAAATAAAATCCCAGATTAAAACAAATGTATGTGAATGGGCCTCTGACTTTACAGGTAGGTCCCAGACCATTAACCAGTGGTCCCATCATAAAAAAAATGTTTGGTACGACCTCGTTTCCAGTGTTCGGAACGATTTCTCGGTATAAGTAAAAAACCTAAAAAAAAACGCAAAGACACGGAGAATAAAGTTTAAGACTGCTAAAATTCAGTGGGTATGGACTTTTTCCCCCACCTAAATAGAGCCAATTAATAACTCACTTCCAGGTTTTAGTGCATTAAGGATTCTTAATTTCGCAAAAGGGAAACACGTACTCGTCCACCCTTGTCGCATTCTTCCAACTGGGACGACCTAACCAACAAATCGCTTCGTCATTTCTCTGCCTCTGCACTACCGAGCAATGCAGTCCACGAAATATTGTTTAAGTAGCTAACGTTTGCAGCTTGTTCAGGTTGTTTGAACCAATGTTAACGGTTGCTAGGAACTACAAGTTCTGGCCAAAAGACAACAGTGCCACTAACTACGCGGACAAATTCTCACCTCAGATTCAGGTCGTCCGAAAGGAAGCGTGAGTGGAAACTCGACATAAAGCCTCAGTTTGATGAAGGCCAACATCATGAAGGTGGCCAGAAGTCTTTTCACACTTTCAAAAACTTTAAGACCTGCAGTGTCGTTTGAAATGCTGTTTAAAAATATCATCCCAAGTAATTTCTTCATTTAACTGCATTAAAACGTGTCTTCTCCATCAAAGTCGGTCCAACCAAAGTTTGGCGAGAAATTATCCATTTTCGAATTTTTCATCGCCTCTGTTTCAAAACTAGGGTAAGTGCAAAATCTTTGGAATTTAAAAACCGATGCTGATTGGCTCGCCTCGGAGACTTTGTTTCTTTTCAGACAAACGGGAGAAACACAAGACTCGAGGAGGGAAAAATTATAATTAAAAAAATCACGAGCGGAGGGGAGGGGTTGAAAGAGCGGGGAGGAGAGGGGTTGAAAGAGAGGGGAGGAGATGGGAGAGGTTGAAAGAGCGGGGAGGGGAGAGGAGGGGTTGAAAGAGAGGGGAGGGGAGAGGCTGAAAGAGCGGGGAGCCAGATCCTGGTTACAATTAGCCCACTCTCGACAAATTCCAAGCATTAATTAGCATTTAAACTCTTGAAAATTTAAACATTCAACAAATTCCTACATTGTTTATGCTGCGACCTTAAAAGAAGCCTCGATTTACCCCCTCAATAAAAAATGTCTGTTGTCCCAGATATGATTGGTAGAAATATACTGAAATAGAGATTTCAAAACAAGATCTTATACTGAAGGAAAGTCGTTTATACAGGTTTGATTCTTCAAATTGTGGACCCTTCTTAGATAAAACAATAAAGCAAAACAGACAAACAAAAAACAACAACAGAGAATTTTCAGAAGTAACGCACCAAGAGACCTGGCACCAGCACTTGCCAGCAAATCAGTAAAGGCTCGGGTGTTTATACCAACGATAGGCAAGTCATCTACATTCCAGAAACCCTCCTAAAAAAAACACCAAAAAGGTCATCATAGAGACAAGATCAACAAATATTTAAACATAAAATAAACTATACTGTTTACATTATTGAACCCTAACCCTGACCATAATTCAGAGGAAGAGGGACATAGAATTCTCCCTTACCGGGGTTGTATATACCCCATACATTGCGGTTTTAGCTCAAGAATCCAAACGTTTCGATCTTTTTCTTACACTGTCGTTTGGGGAGCTTGTATTGCCATAGGAAGAAAGGAATCACTTTTACTAACGACTAAATATATTAAGGTCTCTGGGGTGCCATGGTATCATGCGACAGTGAAACAGATGAGGTTTAACTATCTGAAAGCTAACGAACTACTACCAAATCTCCTTTTTACAATTTCAATCAAAAAATAATACCAATTCTGTGGTAGATAATGTAAATTATTTACTCAGTTTTTTGGTAATTTGCTGGATTTGATCAATGATGTGATTTCTATAGATAATAACATGATTTCGAGTGCAATTTGGTGTTAATAAGCACAGGTAAATTTTTCAAAGACAACAAAGTAGTCTTTACAGTTAGTTCCAAGACAGGTCAAAGGGGTTTACGGTCCAGAACGCCAACCAGAGAGTTTGATGATGAAATTATGATGACGGCCCACGCAGCTACATTACAGCAGTCGATCTAAATCTCGAAAATTGTGTGGCTTTAATGAATGCAAATAGAGCACCAATAATGGGATAATCAAAAAAACTTTGCACTACTCACCGAATTTTGAGCATTAAATATCCGTTTCAGCTTTTCTCGTCGTTCCCGTGTATAATCCAACTGTTCACGTTGGACTCCCTCTCCAAAAACGGAGCGTGTTACCGTCCGTCCCACGTAGGGGAGACGCAAGGGTGCATGGGAAGCGGGTGGTGCAGGAGGTGGAGGAAGAGGCTGATGGAGATCTCCTGGGACTGGACATGTGTCCTGCTTTACCATTGAATCGTCATTCAATGGTACTGCACCTCCTTCTCTAGTTACTGGTATCTCTCGCAATACTTCTTCTCTCGTCGGACGATCTGCTTGCTTTACTCTGAACCGAGGGCTAGGTGAGTCGGTCATTTTGGTTTGCTGTGAATTGCCAAATAATCCACCAGTTTGTGGATAATTTAAGGGGTTTCGCTGCCGCGGCTGAGATTGGCCAAACGTAAAACTACCAGATGTCTGAGCTGACTTAGACATCCCCATAGTCTGCCAACCAAAATCAGAGGGTCCTTCAACGACTGGGGGGGCGTCTTCTCCTTCAGTGGTTGTTGGGATTTCTTCGATTGCTTTCTTTTTCTTCTGATAAAGACTAAAAGGACGAGTAACTGGATCGGCTGTAGTTGGCAGTGATTGGGAAAATAGGCTGGTTTCTTGTGTATTGCCAAACAATCCCCCATTTTTTACCGGCTAACCAAATATTTGGTCTAGCCGACGCAGAGAAAATCCTTCTGCAAAGGAATCTGTTCCAGAAGAAATCTCCGCCCTTTGTGCTATTCCTCCTCCAAAGGTAAAGGGTGCTGCTTTTTTGGTAGGAAGAGCTGCCTTAAAGACAGACGAAGCGGCTAATTTCACATCCAAAGAAGCATCGTCGCTTCGCTCTCCTTGCAGTTTCTTTTCTGTCTTCTTGCTCTCATTTACTAGGAAGATAAATTAAAGAATAAACATTTTGATTAACCAGATTAAATCATGCCTAAGACTACGTATCTCTGTGTTCGGTTAATGCTAGGAAATCTACGACAAACAAATATTAGAAAATGCTTATCTGAATCGTTTCAACTATTGACTGTCCTTTGGTCAGGGCTACTAAATAGACTGTCCTTTGGTCAGGGCTACTAAATAGACTGTCCTTTGGTCAGGGCTACTAAATAGACTGTCCTTTGGTCAGGGCTACTAAATAGATTGTCCTTTGGTCAGGGCTATTAAATAGACTGTCCTTTGGTCAGGGCTACTAAATAGACTGTCCTTTGGCCAGGGCTACTAAATTGACTCTCCTCTGATCAGGGAGCACAAACTTGTCTCAGAGAAAATATGGAACAAATAATAAGTATGAAATGTTGAGATATGTTTGTCGGGCGAATAAATGTCAAATACGTTACGACTACCTTTTCAATTTTGGCGACTTCCGATAGACATTTCAATTCGCCTTTTAAATTGTCTCCTTTTTCTTTGTCAAACCCAAAGAGAATTTGATCTTTCATCAGAGGTGGCCTTGGTTTTTTTTAAATGCAAACACTCCACGATTTTTTTTTTAAAACGGTACTGTTTGCAAATTGTCCGACCTCAGCTAAGACAATGACAGGAACGTACAATGCGCCATGATAATCATTAGAAAATTAAAAACTCATCTCAAAAACAATGTTTTCTCAAGTAATTTGCCATGAAATTTGAAGGCATGCTGACTAATGCTGATAATCGGAAGAGCAACGACCTGAAATATTTTACATTTTAATTTCATAGGTGACAAATTACTCCTTAATTTTGGCGCGAAATTTCAGCGTTAATTTTCAATTTCACATGTGAAATTACAAAATTGCCATGGTAACATCTCTTGTATCTCGATCAGAGCCAAGATGGCGTCGAGATTTAAGACGGTGACCCTTGAAGAAGTTACGAAATTAAAAGAAGCGGCCGAAAATTATTAACAGGCACGAAGAATTCGAAAGGTATTTTTTGTGAAAAAACTCAGAAAATTAAAATCTTTAATTTAATGTTTGTATGTTTTAAATGAAAACTATATTCTTCTTCATGTTCTCGGTTTTCGATCGAATAAAACAGTAAAAACAATTACGGTTGTGAACGCAACTTGTCACCCACAATATCGAAAGGTAATCAAATGGTTTTCTCGTGAAATTAGGAAAAAATTTCACTTGCGTTTTGTCAAAATTCTCATAATTTCCCTCGCCTAAAGGCTCGGGAAATTATCAGAATTTTCACAAAATGCACGTGAAATTAGTTCCTAATTTCACTCGTCGCCATTTGATTACACATACAAACACGTCTGTTTGAGTAATGAGAGGAATGTCATTGTCACCTTTCAAATTTCACTTGTCTAATTCACAGAACAAATTGCTACATCAATCTGCGAAATATTAACGAAATAAGGGGTTCCTTTTTAAGAACAGTTATAAATTTCTACTGATAGTGACCAAGCCAAGCCAAGCCAAGCCAAGCCAAGCCAAGAAAGTGGCTTAAAAAAGGTAACGAAACGAGGTTCCTATTAACCCTTTATACCTTAACATCAGTATGCATATTCCCCATAATGTTCTTTATACATTTCCTAAGATGTGGACAAGGAGAGTTTGTTCAACAGTTAAGAGCTCCTTTAATTGATGATCATTTCCTGATATTTAATTCAGGGTGATGTTAAAACGAGAAATTGGATGCCAGTCGCTCTTGGGGGTCAAAGAGTTTACTACAATAGCCCATCAGACTGACTGGTAAGAGAAAACATGTTCAACTGTACCTGCAGCTTCTGGTTTAGGAGCTGAAAACTGTCTTCTTCGGGCTACACGCGGGAAGGGCGAGATGAACGGCGGGGATGGCCTCTCGTAAGCCCTGCAGCGTATTTTTTCCTTATCCGCGTCTAAAAATTAAAAAGAGAATTTAGATGTTGTATTTTCATGATCCCTAGCAATAGAACACAACACAACACAACGCACCCTACAGCAAGGGAACGGATACACCAATCAGATAACCAATGCCTGGTACATTACATGTTTTCAACGGATTTTCTGCGAGATGACTTATGAATTTGGAACAAAGATGACATAATAAAGAAGAAACGCAGCCGCCAGACGACCAATTGCATGTGGCCTGAACTAAGTTGGGTGTTCATTCATATTCCTCATTTTAGGACCTTTTTAATCACAACATCCCTTTATTATATCAGCACATGTAAGAGCATTTGCGTGCATCGGCGAAAACATTGGTGTCAAATTACGTTCCATACTTGTACATGTGCTGAATCAAACGCTCACAGCTTTAGAAAAGTCGAAAAAGTATTGGGGGTTTTGCATGTGTTTGCCTTCAAAGGTCTAAACTTAACGGCTGTGTAGGATAGAGTTGTCAACAAGGTCCCAAATCCCAAAACTCGACGTCTAAATCAAGGTTATTTACGGCCATCGGCCGATGGCGATTTATAGTGGTCAGAATATGCTAAAATTCGTCTCTTCAAATAAATAAAGAGGAAAATTCTAACTTCTTAGCAAAGTAGAAAGGTTTTTAAGCAATCTGATATAAATCTCGTGGCTTGACTATGCGAATCAATTATTTTACAATGTTACAAAATATGCCTATTTTTTTAACTTTCGAGACGTTGCGACGGTTCCTACGGACTGCAGAAATAATTATGGCCCCTGATGTAGTCAGAAAATTATTTCGAATCAAACCAAATCTAATTTAGTTCTTTCCCAAGTAAAGTCTTTCTGTTGACAGAGTTTCCGGTAAAATTATCTTTGACGCGAAATTGACTGGGTGGGAATAGGAGCGACAGCCTCTTAAATCCTTAATATGATATATGGGTCTCTCCAAGGTACTGCTGCTCCTAAACAAGCACAGGGACCCCACTTTCTAAGATAAATCAATCAACCTTAAGGTAAGGGTTGACAAAAATTTAAGTGCAGGTCCTATTTTAGACGAATGACCTTGATATCTTTTGGTTTGACCTGGCCTCTTAACTGTTTGTTTACAACACCAACAATACCAAACTAGTGTTTAGTTTCAAATATTGCAACGTTTTTCCTTATAACTTACCACCTGGTGAAGTAGGCCTGTAGAGAGCTGATTGATTCTCCACACGCAACACGTCGGGAGATTCCATCCCACCCTCCATCGAAACTGACATGATAGAAATAAGATATATTTCAATATTTTTAAACTTGTTCGAGAGGAAGCGTCGATAATTAGATATGTTTCGTCATTTCAAACAAAGTGACAAAAAATTCATATTTCAGAAATAAGTTCTCAGAGCAGACAAAAATCCTGCGAAACAGAATGAAACACTACTTAATGAAGAAAGGATAGGGCAAAAATTGTTAAATGAACGTGTAATAATGTGAACATACTGTACTGTAATTGTGACGCTAACAACAGTGATAAAATAATAATAAAGATAACAAATGTAATTAAACAATAATAAAATAACAATAATAGTAATAATGACTTTACCACGCCTTTTACCACAATTGGATGTAATATCGCGATCTGATTGGCCAATTTGCCGTTGTCGATAAGAGAACAGACAACGCTGCTCGCGTTAACGAGTCACGCAATGCTTTTATCAGCTCTCAAACATGGATGAATCGGAAATTTTGTCGTCGACATTGTGGTAAAAAAACAAATCGATAGTGGTCCAGCGTGGTCTGTACTCTTATCGACAACGATTATCGTCATCACAGTAGTGAAAATTTGTTTCGGACTCCTGCACCGGCTGCGCTTCGTGAGTCCACAACATTTTGACCACTGTGATGACGAATATCGTTGTCATTAAGTACGAGTAAAGACTGCACTGCAGGCTTCTTATTAGGGCGAGTTAACGTTATAAGCTCGTTATCGTTTATCCGAACGCAATGTTTGATTTAGAGTGGACGGTGGGGGTAAGGGGCGGGGAAAGGGCTAGACCACTCCCCACCCCAGCCCCTCTCCTTATTTTTGACCGTCACTCACCCCCTTTATACAAATTTTTTTCTCTTCCCAGCCTCTCGCGCCTCGCTGCCGATATAATCAAAGACGGCGGCCATTTTTTCGCTAAAAAAATACTCAGCACCCGCTCGCCCAAATTACGCTTGTTCTGCAGGCCATATAGACCACGCTAAACCATTGTCGACTTGTTAATTCGACACCTTGAGCAACTCTCTGCAAATTGGAGATACCATTATTGTCTAAACAAATCGAGAATGTAGAGCATAGCTCTCGGATAAATGTCATTATCTGAACAACTGCGTACCTACCCCTCCCGAAGTCCAACCTTAACCCTAACTTGTTACCATTCGACTGTAGTTGGGCTAGGGGAGGGGTATGTGCGCAGTGGCTCAGATACTGATATAGATTCTAATTTTTTTTACTGTCCCACGTGGCAAGATGCGTACCAGTAGCACTGAGGAGGAGTTGAGGTTACCGAGAAACAAACGCAGTCAAGAGGCAGAGATGTGAACGATAACCTAAGAACTCCAAGCCTTTAAACAGCTTCTTGAATCACTTAGCAACGCCGATCTCAATCAATCACGAAACGGAATCAATCAGGAAAGAAAATGTTCTGGTGATAGAGAGCTGGATGCATGACACCATACTTTTTGTTAAACTTTGTCGTAGAACCCAGTGCCTTACCGTCGCCACGATAAGTAACTTCATCGTCACCATCACTGATTTCTGTAAGATTCACCATTTTCACTTTGCCGTCCCCCAATAAGATGTCTGTCAGATACAAAAGGAAAGTTTAAAGACAACCACTTAAACCCTTCCCAATTTAAAAAACAACCCCTGAAGAAAAAGAAATGGGGATTTACCGAGCTCGTTTTGGAGATAATAGCTATCAGACCATGGTAGATCTTACAGCTTTAGTTATTTACGGGCATTTTGGACTCACTCTTCAGAGGCTCCCTATGGGTAAATCATTATTGATGAATTATTTTATTTATTTATTTATTTATGGAATTTAGAATTGTAATTTTGAACTTCTATTTTATCTTTGATTTAATATTTATTGTAAGGCGCAGTTAAATATTTTTATAGAAACTGCGCGGTATAAATTTAAATTTAATAAATTTAATAATAATAATAAATCGCTGGAGACAGCATCAGAGAGTATGTTTGAGATGGAACATGTGCACTGACTTATTTACCTTGTAGTCTTGCACCATTAGTTCCCTAGAAACTGGGATGGGCGAGTAGGGCTTATCTGTTCTGCGTTCACTTTTATCAGTAACGATGTCAAATTATTCTGCAATTCCGGCCATTTCGGTTATGAAAAGTTTTCCCAATAATTTTCAACATTTCACATCAATTTGCCAAAAAAAAAAAAAACAAAGTTTGCGAAGAATGTCAAATTCAAGTATCGAGCAAAAGACCCCGTTGCTCAATCTCAATTATCATGTCCTAAATTTTCATCTCTTAATCTAGTCAAGAAAAAATTCGATACCGATTTAATGTTTCCGAGTTTGAGAAATAAAAATTCAGGCCTGGTTGTTCTCATCGTTCTTAATATTTAAACACAATACTAAAAGAAAGGAAAATAAAAAGGAAAACAATTTTTTGAAAGTATATATACTTTATGTGAAGAAGAAAAACAAAGATCATACGTGTTCTTGTAGCCGGGTTGTTTAACTCACGGCCGAAGGTAACTCGAAGCAAAGGCTAAAAAAGTTACGAAATTATGGTTCAAAATGAACAATGAGTCTGTGTAAAAACACCTCCTAAATGTTGCTTTTTAGAAAAAGAATGTTGAAAATATGGCGTTTAACTACACTTTTCATAGCATTGGAGACCAGACATTACTTAACCCCCCAGGTTATTTTTTCTGGGAGGGATCAAATGGTTTTCAGGGGGGAACGGAGGGAAGATCAGTCGTCGCCAACAGCGTATAACGGGGAGGTATAAGAAATTGATTGCCAATTAACTGCCAATGATGAAGGGGGGGGGGGATAAGAATACAACAGAGCCTTATGAGGGAATCAGTAAATTTCACCGTAACACAACCAAACTCCTCCCAACTCCCACCCCCCTTGTGATATATAATGGCCTTGGTGTAAGTTCTCTCGTACCCTGTTGCTCCACTTCAGTGATTTCGGGCTCCTCCTCTTCTACCTCATCCATACATTCGTCATTTTCGCCGCTATCCCCGGAGGAGTCACTGCCTTCTGTAGAATCGCTCAAGTAGGAATCTCTGCTTTTGGAACTCATTTGACGAGCCTTCTCCTCTTCCCCCTTCAAAGTGGACAGGTTTGACAGGACTTTCACTGCCTGTGTAAAATTATAGAAATTAACCCTTTAACTCCCAGAAGTGATTAACATGTAACTTCTCCCTACAATATCCGCACATGATCCAGCAAACAAGTAGTGAGAATACTCAAACTTATCCGGTAGAAGTTGTTGCCTCGATTGAACACTAAATTCTCACTACCAATTTATAAGGAAATGTGTAGAAGCTAGAGGAGAGAATTAATAATCAGATCTTGGGAGTTAAATGGTTAATAAGACGTTAGATCTTGGTCCAACCAAACGGAAATGGTCCTCATTGTTGGTTCTGCGGCTTAAGACAGTCAGGGACTCACTCAAACAGGCCCAGTTTACCTTTACTGTCACTGGCTGATCAGCACCGAGATTTTCTTTCGCTTCCCCTATAATTTCTAACCCTAACCCTAACCCTAACCCTAACCCTAACCCTAACCCATACCCACCAAGGAGTGATTTAAAAACAAATTTCTCTTTACAGGATATATACTAGGCTCGATTTCCGCCGCTCTCTCGGGTCCGGTCTTTCTCGTTCCTCCCCGAGAGGGTTCGGGGAGGAGCGCGGGCTCCGGTTCACGAACAATGGCTGGTAATCGAGCCTAGATATATACAATTTCAAACAGAAAGGTGATGAGAATAAAGAAATATATCAATTCAGGGATGAGAATAAAGAAATATATCTATTCAGGGATGCTGTTTGATTTAACACTAAACCTTAGAGCCTAAATGAGAAATATAGTGTGGAAAATGCAAAAATATCTATATCTTTACCACATTTGGTAGTAATGTCACCGATTGGCCAATTTACCGTTGTCAATAAGAGTAAAGACAACAATGCTCGCGCCAACGTGTTACGCAATGATCACGCTCTGAAACAATCTTTTATTCGACGTCGATATTGTGGTTAAAGACAAATCGACAGTGCTTTAACGTGTTCTGAACTCTTTTCCACAACGATATACGTCAGCACAGTGGCTGCGCCTCGCGAGCCCACCACATTTTGACCAGGTAGTGATGAATTTCGTTGTCGAAAAGAGTTCAGACCACGCGAAACCACTGTCGATTGTTAATTAAATCTTGTGAGTAAGAGGGTCATCAGAAAGCACAACTTATAGGGACCTTTAAGTTTGATTGATTTAAGGCTATCATTGAAAATGGACAATCTTACCAGTTCCTGATTTTTCTCCACTACAGGTCGTTGCTCCCAAGCTATGTAGTCCAATATGTCCACATCTTCCAAAGAGACCAACTCGAGTATACTCGGTCTCCGTCCCTTGTCGAATTTCTCGTCCTATAAGAAGAAAGTGGGGAAGCAGCGCAGATGATGTCGAGAAAATTTTGAGGGCTATAGGGGAAATTCAACTACAGCGAATAATCCTATACACGGGGTTTCAACGAGACGTATAATCTGAAAACCATTTTCATTCCCGTCATTGAAAAGCATACATATATAAATATACGTGTTCAAATGCCTGAATTTAAAAAGTTATTTTGTAAAAAAGAAAAAAAAAAAGGATTAGGAGCCATGACTTTCTTGTGGACCTTTCCTTCTAAGCCATCTTCTCACGAAAGTGAAATTCTTTCCTTTAAAAACCTCCATATTAAAAGATACAACGCGTTTATTTTGCAGGAACTTGAAGACTTGACAGTTATGGTTCAAATTCCCCACCCCAGCCAGACAAGGTTCAAATTCCTGACGCCCCAGGAACGAACGACAGTCAAATGCTCGAGGGTTGCCCGGGATGGGGGAAGCTAAAATCACAATTTTTTACATACGGTATTCATCAACGAGATTTCATGGTATGCTTCTTAAGGTATACTTCTCTTTTTATTTAATCTGTACCTTTTCTCTGTGTTCAACTGCAACAAAACTTGTGAACTTGGATACAACGGAGAACTTCATGCTCAAGGAAATGATGTAGTCTTTCCTCTCTCTCTTCACAATCTATGGAATCATAACATGACAACAACCGTTTCAGTAGAGGCAAACCTTGCGAGCCTGGACATATGTAGGTGCTTTAGTTTTAACATCTGACGCCAATTGTTTGAAGTGTAAATAACTCTATACCCCATAAAAACCTCTGTCCCGTGAAAACACAGTACCTTTTATCCACACTTATCCACTGGATAGCGATTTATCCATTGGATAACGTTAGCCTAGCCCTTGGTTAGCCTCTAGAACTAGGACCCAGTACATTTTTAATTACCAAGAACACATCACGATGACTTTAAGCAGGGCTTAAACCCAGACCCCTCCACTAGAAACCACCGCGCTGACATTTTCCAATCACCACCTGAAATTATCGTCCTCACCATCATTGTTCCTTTCCCTTTTTCCAGAGATTAGGGCCGATCGCTCTCTCTTTCTCTACTGGGTGTTCCACCCTCCGTAACCATGATAGCTACAACCCTAATTCCTTTAACACCATTTGAATTACTCAGTATTAACAACACGCGGCTAAAATCAAAGCAAAGATGAAAGATATTACTTCTCATTGGTCATATTTTTAGACAAACCTCGTGCCCAGAGCGCTGCTCATGCAAGCTACCTTCGTCCCAGTCTCTGATGACGGCACGCGCGGTCAGCTGATGAAGAATCTATGCAAGGAAGTGATAGTAGAAAAATAACTAAAAAAGTAACTACAGAGAGCTGGATAGTTTTGTTGTGCTTGTACTTACTTTGCCCGTTGTGATGTTTAGGTCAGCGGTAGACACCATGGTTGAAACCATCGTGCCGTTAACCTCTGCGGTCAAGGTGGCCTGGTGAGAATTTAGAGAATTTAAAGTTTCAGTTTTTCCCTTAAACAAAATTGTTGCTAGCAAACCTGTAGTTACCTGTGTGCAGTTATCAACGAATCCATAAACCACTTGTCTAGAGCCGTTGAACAGCGACAGGAGTTGGTGAGGAGCTTGAACTGGGGGACTGGATCCGGAATCGTGCTGCTGCCAGGTGACTCTCACTGATGTCAGGCCTGGTTGCTCAGCTTTGGACAACTGCGACTTTACCTAAACGAACGTTATTTTATCAACAACAAATTCTTGAATATTCTTTGGATGATCATCTTATCCAGAAGCTATAGTATTCTCTAATAGACTATGAAGATTGGTGGAAGTTTTAATCAATAAATAATATCTTTTATCAATTTAAATTTCGAGTCACAATAGTTTTTTTCCTGTAAACAGGAGTTTCATACCCTTCTTTCCCATTTAGATTTGGCACTATCATCAAAGAGCTCTGAGGCACCAGCTCCGACTTTGGACATTGCTCGTAGAAGGTAACGATTGGCCGTGGAACTGATGGAAAAAGGAAACAAATCAAACAAGGTGTAGTTAGGAAACACTTTTACGTGTAAACAGAAATCAAGCAATTTAAGAGGCAATGCCTTAAGGCTTCAGTCGCGTTTAAATCAAATCCGATTTGTCACTTATCATCCACAGGTCGAATATCAAGAATAATTTAGTATCAGAGTATAAGATTAAGCACAAGGGAAGCTCTACCACGAAAAAAAAAGGAACATGTGTACAACGTCTGCGAGCTCAAAAGGCCCTCCGGCGTTTGCACCTCAAAAAACCCTACCAATGTTCACACTTCATTATATAATATGATAGGGAAAAATTTGAACTGAGCTGGAGCACCCTACACAGAGCTGAAGCCTTTGGGAGATTTGGTTCAATATGATCACAACCCGCAAAGGCCCTTTTCCGACTACTTACCCCACACCAAAGGTGAAAAGCCTGTCACTTTGGCAATGACTGCGGATCAAACTAAGAGTGGTTTCCTCTTCTGTCACGTGACCATCCGAGATTAAGAAAATATTACGTGGGTGGTCAGCGGTAGATAGCGTGGGTAACATGTACAGCTTCTGAAGGACTCGCCACAACTCTGTGCTGCCTTTGTCGGCGGTTAAGGACTAAGAACAAATGACGTAATTACTATCGATATTAAATTTCGACCAGGTTGAAAACTAAAGGAATGGAACGGAATTTTAATTCGTTTGAACAGTTAAACAATGTCGTGTTAAAGGAGAAGGGAGTCCACGTGCCCGGATACAGCTTTTGACAAGGAGGCTACAAGAACCGGTTGAAAAGCATGTGACGAGACTCAGGAACGAATAGCATTTTCCACAACTTTTAAAATTCTTTTCACGTGCCTCAAACGTGCCAAATTTTACCTGCATAAAAAAATTTCATGCAAAATAAGTGAGAAAATTCGTATTCGTATTCGTAGCGTGTGTTCATATTTTACCTTTGCGTGAACCAGAGTACACAAAGATATGCCTCTAGTCAACAAAGTGACTCTACACTTAAGAATTTGCTTACCTCGACAAATTTTTTAGCTTCTTCAAAAGAGTCTTTGTTTTTTTGGATGCTGTAAAGAAACAGCTCCGAGTGTTCTGAAAACAAACAAACACAACCAGTGAAATGGATTTGAAGCTGCACAAAGGGCTGAAGACGCAAGGCTAACGCTAAAAGAATGTTTTACAGAGTAAGTGGAAAAGTGAGGGTGCCCCTCTCTCGCTGCCGCCAAAACGCGGAAGTTTAGTTAAGAACCAATCTCTTGTTTATAGTCTACCAACCAATGACAGAAATGTAGTGCATGAGCCTCCTCGGATCCACGAAAAGGACTTAGAAACGGATTGTGTTATTCTTTAACTCTAATGTTCATGGAAACCGAATTTTTAACCAAGGATTGTGAAGCACGCGCGATCTGATTGGTCGATCCCGTTTGTGAGCCCATGTTCTACCAGGGTATGAATTCCCACAAAACTGATGCCGGAGGAGAGGAACTGACATATCACATATAAATATTCTAAATCAAAATGTTACAGAAGTGTTTGTTTTTCTGATCCGCAATTAAAGCTTGTTTTGGAAGGATTTTGGTCTTAGCGATTGCTGAGGGTTTTGAGTAGGATGTAATACCATTTTTAACGAAAAAGTAACGAACTATTAAACAAGAAAAGAAATAATATATTATAAAAGCTAAAGGTACAGTTCTGTACAAGGCATGTCGTTTTGGAATTTTTCATACAATTCAAATGGCAAAAGCATCAAGAGTAGAGTTCGTGGATGTAAACTTTAAAATTATTTCATAAAATCCTGGTGCAAAACTGTTATAAGTTTGCAAAATATTTGTACGCAGTCAAACTTTCGCATTCACTAGTTGAACAAAATTCGGAATTTCACCATCAAAGTCGACAAGTTTTCTTTCGTCTGCCGCCGAGGTTGTGATTCATTTAAAATAACGCGAACCCTTGTCGCAGGTCTCTTCATTACTTCTGTCGAAATATCTCATCTCATTTTCTCCAACAACAGTCCTTTTTACAGTTGTGGGTTTGGTGGCCAAGCCTTTGAACAGGAGTGAGGCTAAGCGTGACCTTGTTATGATAGAGATGTTGCTGCTTTTCAAATACAAATTTCTTTGTTATCATGCTAACTAGATACAGGTCTCTATCACAACAGGGTCACCGTTAGCCTCACTCCTGTTCAAAAGGCTTGGCCACCAAGCCCACAATTGTAAAAGGGACTATTGGGCTAATGCAGCACTCCTCCTTACTTTCTCGATCATTTTGATTAGTGTCTAACGCTAATACATAAATAAGCACACCATGACAATCTTAACTTTTACGATTAAAACATTTATTTCACCTGCTGTCAAATCCATGTAAAAGTTATTACATAAAAGCAGTAAGGTACATTTTACTAGGGTTTAAACCATGGTAAACACTCACGGGATCTTTGTAAAACGTTGAAAATGATTAACAATCACCCGCGTCACGGTCCGCGATTTGTGTTCTCCCAACAATACGCGAGGGTTCATAACACTATAACGGCTTGGAAAAGACTATCTATCGCCACAATAAACTTCAACGGTATGCTTGGTCTTAGTCACCTATCAATACTACGTAAAAAACATAATATGAGGAAAAAATGTCGGCTCTCTCACATCCTTAAGCATCAAAAGTAACAAAACAAATATCATATGATATAAAAAAAAAAAAAAAAAGGTTAGGAAAAAATATAAGTATGTTGCGCGTGAAGGTTTAGTGTATCTTGAAATGAATATTCAGCCTAAAGTCTTCAACTTGATCATTTGTAATCCGTGCTCGTTTACTTTGTTCTTACTAACTCTCATTCTTTTAATCCTCTCCACCTAACATCAGTATGCATTGTTAATTGTTTAATGGTCCACAAGGTCGATTTCAAAAGAAGGCTCAGCAATATCGCTCTCGATTTCAATGGCGGTTACATTGTTTTAAACCGCGTGACAATGAAAAAGCGGCAACAAACAATTGGCCCACAACGCGTAATTGGTGGCTAAAACCTAATTTGGTAATTTCCCTTCATAAAGAGCTTTTGTTTTGTGGTTTTCCTCACGCCGAGGATAATGTTGCAGGCTGCAGAGAACAAGTCAATACATCGCTACGTAGCTACATCAAAAAGGGAAAAAAACAGATTCCTATGTTTTTTTGTTTGGTTTTTCTACAAGAGAGATCTTGTACCTCTCATCCGTTTTTGAAGAAAGTCCAAGGAGCTTCGAAGAAAAGCAATTTACTCTTTGAAGCCTTAAGAAAAAGCCTAAAATCATGGTCCTAAATTCATGCGATATTTAATTGTCAGTTTTCAGGTTTGTGCTTTACAGAAATCGATCGCAGTTTTCTCGCACACCACAAAACAATGGCAACATGTCCAAACAGAACAAACATGGCTACGCCGACTGTGTTCATAAGAGTGGGCTGTGAAGAAAAACGATCTAACAGAGCTGTTCTCCTTTCTTGAAGATCCACTTGGGCCGCGTTGAACGCCTGTTGGATACCCATGGCGATCAATATATGGGCCAAGTTGTGGCTTTGGCCAAAATTATCGAACACACCCGTCATTAAACGCTCTGGAACTCTCGCAGCGTACAACGCAGCGCCTAAACCGCAGAAGATAACATGGCGTTTGAAATACACCTTGGATATGCCGTTATACGCTGGGTCGGCGTTTTCACATAACAAAATACGGACCGTGTAGGGTGATGTGATAACAAGCCAGTTTACCGCAAGGACGGCGACCCTCAGCACGGCTTTGTAATCTTTACAACGTGGATGGTTCGATGCGCAACACAAAAAAGTTATGAAAAACGAAAAGAACGTCGAAACAGACTGGAAAATGGCTAGTGAATCGTGCAGCGCCCAAGTAGACGCGCCCGCGGTCCTAGAGTAGAAAAACATTGCTTGCCCTGCGGTGAACGTGTAAAACCCGATAGCCGCGTAATCAAAGAAAAAACAAATTCTATGGGAATCCTCCGACATGCAGTTGAAGAGATGTGCAGAGGAACTCATTAAATATAGAACCGAAATTCCCATGGCAAAGGAGATCAGCGGCAGGAAAAACGAGTCAGTCATAGGTAAGGAGGTCATGTTTACAGACACGAACAGTACCAGAGCGAGCAGGTGGCTCCAGAAGTTGATAGTTTCGTTGGAAGATCGGAGCAGACTTTTGATACATTCGCAGAAGGTTAACCCGGGTCGTCGATAACCAGACACGATGAATGGCGTCCTGAACACTTCGGGCATTTGGTTGCTTGACAAGCCGTATTTTGTCTTGTGAGCCTCTTCAGAGTTCTCTTTTACATTTGCAGTTTTCTTTATGTGATCCCACGCTGAAAAGTTATTTTCCCATTCGTTAGAGCTGTTCGGCGTTCTTTCTTTCATTTCGTTGGGTTGTTGAACCTGTTTGTACGCCTTCAAATGCATTGTGAAATTTAGTTATTGTGGCGGATTAACAACTCCTTGTTTCGTTTCTCTCAGCGATAAAATTGATCGATGACGACGTCTCCCTCAATTACACAGCGGTTTATTCATTTGTGGCTCGTCTGAGAATTAAAATCACTTCAGGATTCCCACCGTTAAATCGAAACTGTGGCTCACCTACGGCTGATTTCCTGAGTGCTTCGCTTTCGCTATATTTTCTTGGGCTTGCCCGGTTGTCAAGTCAAGCGTCGATACCAAACCACCAGTTCTGACAACACCAAGCGCTGATCGGACCGCTTATCAATCGCGACGCTAATCATGAATAAATAAAATATCGTTCCCCACTGCACTGGCAGGACAGATACGCAGGCAATCACTTGAAAAGTTCTTTAAGAACAAAACGAATCCAAAGATTAATACATCGGCAAAATTCTCACCAGTGGAAACTAAACAAAGCCCGCGCAAAAATCGGCATGAGATCGACGGCACAATATAATTTCAACTGGCTTGTCGAATCCTTGGTGCGTCTGTTCGTGTTGACTAACATCATGTACATTTTAAACATTTACCAGATCTTCTTTTCCAAAAACATCTTCTAGTGTTAGAACGTCAGTACTAGCGTTAGAACGTCAGTATAACAAATGCGAACTAAAGATTTTTGTATAATCTCGATTTTGTCGCCTAAAGGCGCATAAATTTTGATAACTTAAGAAAGCATTATCATTCGTGCTAATATTTATTGTACAAGGTCTCGAGGGACCTTGTGTTTATATTTGAAAAGTTGTGTAAATATAGGACAAACAGAAAATAATTTAAAAATCAAAACAATAATACTTACGAACGATTTGTATTGCAAGGTACAAACTCGCCAGTGAAAAACTCTGCCAAAATTTATCAATGTCATTCTCAAAGTAATTAAACCATCGACTTTGCAATACATTACACTACAAAAACGGACCCGCATGAAGTTGGCGTCATTTAAATATGTACCCAAACATCTGTTAAAAACAATTCCGTAGTGGTCTATCTTAAGAAAATCGTAGATAGTTCTCCTTGAAGATTTCAAAACTGATCTGCCACGCTCTTCGCGTATATTCCGGTATACCTTAGAAAATGTTATAACCAGGTAATACAACACTGTAGCGAAACACAGAACGATAAGCCTGATTCACTGGATAAACAGAATGTTCCTAGAAGCAATACCCTTTCACGATGGCTTTTTCGCTTGTTTTGTTCCTTTAGAGCATCATAGCAGCTAATAACTTTTGACTATCAGGTTACTAGAAAAGTTATGTTCCACAAATCTCTATGGAAACGTTAGTATTTCATTACAAATCCGGTAATCGTGGTGCCACAAATCACGATGTTTGCTTTCATAAAACGTGCGTAAAATGCAAGCGCGGTCTTCTTGTTAAAAGTTTTTTTTGGACAGATAGTTCCCATAAATTGTTGAGTAAATTTTTTAAATGCAAAAACCGATCATCAAAAGGATGCTCCCACTGGAAATAATTCCACAATTGTTTCACACCCTTTAAATCAGACTAACTGTACAAAGGTATTAAATATATCAGAAAAGAATACAATCTCTCCTATTGAGAAACGGTATCACGAGGAAACATATCGAAATTCCACGCAGCTCTTCATAAGGCAATAGCTACTTCAGACCTATAACAGCATCCGGAGGCAAGTACTTTTAACCATCCTCGCGCTTGGGCCGCTTATCACGAAGAAGAAAGAGATAGGAACTTTTTCGAGAACTGTTAATTTTACGCAAAACCGTGGCCAGACATGATCAATTCATGATGCAGAATTTCGTAAAAAAAAAAGCAACATTAACTATGAATAGAATAGAAAGGTGGTAAGTGTTGGGCTCGGTTGCACTTATCTATTCGCACACATGACACTTCGTGATGTTGCTTTTCCTAATGGTAAACAGGACACTTGTCACACATCAACCTAATCATAGCCTAGCATACTAATGAGTCTTCTGCATATTGGTGGCGAAGGATCGCAGGGAAAGGTCTGGAGATCAATCCCTTCTAAGGGACTTAAAATTTTTCTTTGTCCCGCGCTCATAACATAACTGAGTACCGTCGACACAGTCGGTCGTTGTGATTGTTTTTCCAAACTTAACATGTTAACAAGTTAGAAAAAGGTCGGTACCAAATGGGCAAATATGCGGCGAATCTGATAATATTACACTAAGTACACTTAAGCACTAAGTAGAGGAAAGGCAAATGGTTTCCGTATTGCAATGATTCAGTTGAAAGCTATTATCAGTTATTGGAAGAAAGGACGGACGAGAGTGATAAACAAGATAAATAATCAAAGCCAATACCTTATCCTTTCTTATTAGACATCGTCCTTAGTTGTTCGTAACGCGCCCTTAAAAGCGAGGGGACAGAAGAGAGTGTTTTTTTCAATTTTTCTATTTTTGAATCGTTCATTTAAAGGGAGCTACTAATACGAGTTTTTTTTTTTTACTGTGCGTGAGTTAAAAGCAGTTATTCGGACAACAGTTGGAGTTAGACTACGAAAGCTGTCTCAAAGTGTGGTATAACCACAATGATAAAAAAATTTTAGAACCACTAACCATCATGAAGTCAATTCACAACTAACTCAAAGGTACTATGCCCGTAAAAGTCCATTTTAAAGCAATTTTCATGGACACTACATTACAAAAATAGCGTGTTAACAAGCAATTGATACCTGTAAAAAATGAATTCAAATACCTATAATTACATCTATAAATACCTCATAAAAAGGTCAAATCGTTATTACTTGCTTCTGAAGAAGACAAATTGCCTTGGTGATATAAAACATCGTTTCACAATTTCATGTCAATAAATCAGTAACATACAAAAAATATTCGGTTAAATTCATACTTGATGTATCTCAACGGTTAAAAACAAACTTTTTGTTCTTATTTACAATGTTCATGTGTTCCTCTAGAGAAAAACAAAGGCACCTTAACAAAAATTTTGTTTTTCAAGGAGCATCCACTTCCATTAAATTAAAGTAGTTGCAACACAGGCGAAGTTCTCGCCTTCCTTTGCACAAATTTAAAAATTCAATTTATGCAGATTTATCGTGCCCAATTTTACCGGATGAATTCGAAAATAAAGACCTAGCAAACCAGAACACGATAGCGAGATTCCCAGCCAAAACTAAAAGACTTAAACCAATCGTCTCGAAAAAATTTGGTATGTGTTCTGTGATGAGGAATTCTTTCCTGGCTGCGAGATCCGAAAGGAAAACGGAGAATGCAAAATGGTCACCGATAGTGGTAAGTATATGAAGAAAATTGTGACTTTGCCCGATAAAATCGAAGAACCCAGGAACGAACCGTTCAGGTACTCGGGTCACATTCACTACAGCAGCGGCCGCGAACGAGAGAAGACACCCGGCGAAGAGACGAAAAGAATCGGGATTGCATGCAGGATCAGAAGAGCAGACGAACAGACGAACGAAGTACGGTGAACAGTTGTGCATCCAGCAGAGGATGTAGAAACCGGTGCGGACGATGAAACGGAGATTGAGCCACTGATGGCGAGACTTGCAACAGTTGAAGGTGGCACTAAACGAAATCAGGGCTGAAACGAATAAGAACAATTCCCACCAGTCGTACAAAAGGAGCCCAGATCCCAGCGGATGGCAGTAAAAATAGAAGGCTTGACCGGCGGTGAATGTGTACACGCTGATAGCTGCGTAATCCAGGTAGTACCCGACGTGAGTTTGTAGCTCAGTCATAGAGCTGAACATATGGGCCACACAACTCATCGTGTACATAGTCCAGCAGCCGAGGGTGAACGATGCCAGTGGAAAATAAAAATGATCAGTGGAAGGATTGTGGTTCCACACCACTGAGCAGTAGCGAGCGATGAGTATCACGGAGGAAAGAAAATGGCTCCAGAAATTCACTGTCTCGTTGTTGGCGTAGAAAACACTTTTTACACTGTCAAGAACGGTCAGATTTCGCGGCCGGTATCTTGACACAAGAAACTCAGTGCGGAAAGCTTGTGGGATTTGATCTTCACGTAATAAAGTAGAGTAGTGGTAGACGTCATCAGTTTTTCCTTCTTTCGGTGACCCATTTTTGTAATTACTATTATCTAGATCGTGTGATATCGTCGCACCATTTCGCTCGACCTGTTTAAGTTTTCCTTGTCTAGTGAGAACCTTCGTCATTTTAAACGATTTTTCCAAACATCAACGGTCCCAAAGGTATTTATGCCTTTCCGAACCGGCGCCAACGATATGCTAGTTGATGAATCGATGTTATATATTGTAAAACAATTATGCAAATTCCACCGAAAGACCTGACCAGAACTAATTTATGAGAATGTTTGGAAGGCAACTATTGTAAAATTGACCATTTTATTTTGGGCTAATTTCTTTCCAGAATGTTGAATTGGGTCAAGTTAAAACCCTTTTCGCCATTAAAAACTCAAAACAAACCTTCGATGACCAATTTTTACCGCTTCAAAGTCGTCCAAAAATCGTCCGACATTCCTAAAAACATGTTCCAGCCGAGCCCGCAATCGTACAGCAGAAATCGTCCTCACGACGTCAAAGGCTCAACAAACTTGTGCTTTGCTTTGTCACAACTCTCTTTGTTCACTGCACAGAGAATCAAATATATTACTTTATTGAGAACTGCTTCGTTGTAAGTCGTGAAATTTCGACTTTCTCTGACGCTGAATTTTCCCAGAAATCATCTGAAGGTTTCGAGGATAGTTTTGCGTCGGCAAACGATGAACTTTTGCCACGAGAATAAAGGTAAAGACAGAACGGCACGGACTCTCCAAGCGGCTTTTGTGGTCGCGTCGCTTTATCGCCTTCAAATTGCATTTTTCCTTTTCGTCAGGGATTTCCCTATTTTGTAAGAGATGATCGGATGATATATAAAAATTGTTTTCGGCAATGTCTGATTGTGTATCAAGGCGGATATTGGGAGTTTGTGAAAACCATTTCTAGGTCGTGCCTCAATGTATTAGGCCCCGATACATTTGGTCAATGATCTCATTAACCTTTTCCTACGTGTTTCTTTACGATCGGCGCTTTGAGAGGTTTGAAGTGAACTCTGTTGTCGAGTTGCACTTTAGCCTCTTCTGTTTTTTCTGTCTCATTCGTGATAACTGTTGTTGAGTTGCTTCTGTGAAGTTTAAAGCAGTTTTTTTTTTTCAACTCTTTTAGAACCGTGACCTCAATGCGTTACGAAGTATTTTTTTAGCTTAGATAGAAAAGTAATCTCTGCAAGTTGTGTTGTGACAATTTTTCTAAGTAGCTCTGAAGGGCAATAGATGACTGAACTGTCAGTTTGATATGAAACTCAATATTCACCGAGTACTTTCCTTTGTGTAAGGTATTCTGCCAGAGAGCTGTTAAAGGCAGATATTGATCAGTTCACTTGTAACGGTGACAGAACACGTAGACTTCCCTTTCGTCGAGATCGCACTGAGGAAGGTTTTTCTTGTCCCTTTTTTTGAACGGTAGGCACTGAACCCGGCAGAATTCTTCACCTAGATCCTTCGAAGTTCACAGATCTCTCGAAACAGTTTTCCGAAAAGTGTTCGAAACAGTTCACAAATCAGTATTCCAGCAGAATGTAGTTTTCCCGGCGGATTCGCACAAATTGCACCCGTTTTCCCTGCTCTGACCTATTTGCAAGGCTTCGATGCAGAGAAATACCACCAGCATGGTCTACGCGATTAGTACAGCCTTGAATTACTAAAACAATTCCCCGTCATTTTCGTATATGATATATTCGTAAGAATAGAGTAATGCTCTGTTATGTTTGCTTGACATTTTGCCATGTGAGATTCTCGCGTTGAGCCTTTGACGTCACTTCCTCTGAGTCCTGCGATCACTTTCCGGAACAGTAGTCAAATAATGGCGGACGCGAAATCGCGAATTTAACGACCCAAAGAAAGATACTTCTGGTGTTCGAACTAGATTGAAATTTGGCAGGGTTGATGAAGGAGACACGCGGAACGCGAAAATGAAAAAAAAAAAAAAAAAAAAAAATGATGCACGAAAATTTTGATCTTAGGGGCACTTCAACGTAAAGGATTTAGCAAAACCATTGTTTCTTTCTCTCTCTGGGACAGTTAAATCATTTTTTTCTAGTTGAGAGTTGTGATCACATTGATAACAGGTTTGAATAATGAGGTTAACGAGAAGAAGCTTATGCCAGAGAATCTTTTATGGGTCCAAAGAGTACCTGAAGAAAGGAAAATACCTCACACCATCGAGGATATGTTTAAAATGTCTCGAAAAACGTGACGTTCACGCGCGACTGAATATCATCCTGTCCTAAACAGCAGTGGGTTTTTTGAACGTGTTTTTCAAGCATTTCGAAGATAATTATTTTAAATTCAGTTTGCGCGATTGAGTTGCTGAGAAAATACGCTACACTAGGCATATCTTTCACCATTCAATCCAGGTTTTTTAGAAGAAGTTGAGTTAAGATATAATTTTAAACTCTTAAGGGCCGATTTTCTCCACGAGGTCTAATCCAAACCATGGTTTAACGCAATCAGTGGTCCTCAGGCTTTCTCTATAAGAGGGTTGATTTAATGAAATAAATGTCCTTCCACTGTTAGCTTTCGGCCCTCTTAACGCTGCTCACGAAAATTAGTGTTCAGTTAATGAAAAGAATCAGCTAAATCGAGGATTGTTTAGGACGCGGTTTAGTTAAACAACCGCTAAACTTTGTTTAAATAATCAGACCTTAGATTCCCCTCTAATGGTTTGCAACTGTGGTGTCGGGATCCAGGAACACTGCTGATGACTATGCACATCATGGGAACGATCATATGCAAACGCCGTGATGTATGAAAACATTATTTGTTGTCTCGTTTAAAACAGATTTTTCTTGAGCCTTTTTAGATCCACGTTAAGGTTGTTTACAAATGAACACTATTCTGATCTCCGTGTTCTCGGAGTGGTGCGTTCTTATGCCTAACGTGTCTTCAACGGAGTCTACGAATGTGAGGCTACTGAGCGAGTGCAATTAGCTATCCGGACAGAAAGATGACCGAGGGCTAGTTTGAAATATGACAAATAACACTTCCTTGTCGAATCAAAAGACGCATTTGCGTTGCAATATGCAAGTCCGTGCTTTATCTTTTGCAGATTATTTAAACAAGTAACTGAACTTACTGCTTCCAAACACGAGTATGTTGAAAATCCAACCTTCCTTTATTAGACTGAGGCACATCAGCAGTAACTTTTTGGCATCGTTAAGGTTTGAACCCTATCAAAGAAATCAGATGTAAGCGTAAAGGAAGCGGACGAGGTAGTACCCCCGGAAACAGAACAACCTGAGATCAAAAAAGTTGTGGAAGTACCATAAAATATTGACGTTAATTCATAATTGATTGGTTCTGGAGTTTAAAATCAGTGTGACGAACAACTCTCATTTGATCTCCAGAGGGATTTTGTTCAGCATGCGATGAAAATTACAACTACACGCTCTTACCAAGATACGTACTAATATCCTACTGAATCACACTAACAACGATGAACCCTAACCTTCATTGAGCAGGAAAGATCAAGCAAAAATATCACTTCAACTTCAGAAGGACTTTCAGCCTCGAACTCAGGATAAAATGTGAGCATACAGGCCTATGGAAAAAAAATGTGTTCGTGAGATTAATACTCTTTAACGGAGAACACAAAATCATGCAGACGCGTCACGTGGCCCTCACCACCCATCTACCGTGACAGCAGAAAGCGACTGAGAGGATCTTAACTCTTTTGGAATGGAAAGGCAGTCCATCACAGGTTGCCCAGCACAGCGGTAAAACGTCTGTGCGTGTGTGAACGATGCAGTGGTAAGTTGGCGTGCCTTCAGGAAGTCTGAACCAATTTGGCTCAAAGCAGTACGGACAACAACACAAGCCAGTACGTCAGTGTTATAAAACACTTGTAAAGCCAGAAACAATTTGGTAAATCATCAGGATACCCTTTATTTAATTAGTTTTGTGTCCGATTTGTCTCCTTCCATTTCACCATGTTTCTTGACAATTCCTCAGTACCGATTCCTAATTTTACGTGGAGAGAGGGGCAAAGGAAGAGAATGGTGGCTTGTCTAAGAACACCAAGCGATGGCCTAGCCAAAGATCAAATCCAAACCATTTTGGACCTGGGATCCCGGGCTCTACCTCTTTCAACGTACCTTTTTATTGGTATTGCTCCTGCCATTTCGCCTCTTAACATCAAAACTACATGAGGTCGTAAGAGCTCAATGCTAAAGATGACACTAGAAAGCTAACAACTGACCTGACTATCAGAATCGCTAATGTGCCGTTCCACCCACATCCGGGGTACGTGAATCTCTGCTAAACCAATCAACAGTTGAAAACCATCCCCAAGAGACTGCCCAGGCTCCAGTGCTATCACTGCCTTGGTAGCTGTCCGCTGGATAGAGAAAATAGAATATTTAGATAATAATGTTATTCTGGGTTAAAGCTTGAAACGCCAGGTTTTCAAAATTCGCTACAGCGGCTCATCCCCTCAGCTTTAACAAGATTTAGTATGAAGTTTTTTGCTGATTGAATGAAATAAACCCGTTAAAAGTACTTGCTTATCTTGATACGAGTTAAAAACGATTTTAATAAAACATGCGCAATGCTTTTTTTTATTTACAGGAAATACAACGGAATTCGACAGCACCCGAGCAATTATACCAAAACAATTATTCGCCTCAAGCTCAGTGAACATTGTTGAATAATCCCCTCGACTTTGTCTGGGGGATTATTCAACAATATTCACTTCGCCTTCGGTGAACAATGGTTAAATATGTCACAAATAAACAAGTGTAATAAAAATGGGCAGCACTGTCTTTCCATCTAGGATCGTGGATGGAAAGAGGAATAATGAAAACCACACAATCTTAATCAATATGAGAAACTTAGTCTAGTAATCTCACTATAGAGCGCTATTCAATTGCGCGTTGTAAAACCAAAACTAGAGTAATCGGACGAGAGAAAATATCACACCGAAAAGATTAGAAATCAAAGAGAAAACAAGCAAATCTCGTGAAGCGCGGGGAAAACGCGGGCGATCGAGTAGCGATCGGTTTTAGCTTTGTAACTGATTAATTGCAGCCAATGCAGTCCCGTGTATCTTTCGATACACATTTAAACAGTGCTCCACCAAAGTGTGAGTGAATGAATATTACCTTAGTTTTCATCGCATGCGTCGGTGAGTCAAGTGAGCGAATCTCAAAGGGCATCTCCACAGACACTTTCACAGAAAAGTCAAAAGCGGGATCGCTAAAAGAAAACAACGAATAAAGAAAAAAAAAACGAGGAAATACGGCTTAGTTTAGGTTTTTTCCAGTTTTCCGAGACTGTCCTCAAGGTTGCACCCAAGAACAAAAAATAACAAAAAAAAATAAGCAAAAAATAAAAAGTAAGCCAAAAAAAAATAAGCAAAAAATAAGACAAAAAATAAGCAGCTGCCTACAAATCGACACACCACCATCCCAGAACCCACCTGGGTCCCACGTCGCCTATCCGCACCGTTTCCACATCAGTCTGATAAAAAAAAATAAGAATTTGAGAATTTGAGTCAACGTTGAAGTTGAACCGCGCGCAACACCATAAAAGAATGAACTGAAAGAAGGCACAAAGTGTAGCTCATGACCTGAGTTACTTCTTCCAAAGCCTTGTCACGTGTCCACGGTGCCACAGAGCCTGGGAGGGAGAAACAGATTTGTTCGCCGTCCACTGTTAGTTCGGTGACGTAAGTTATCTTGATTAACACTTGCGCGCCGGGAGGAAGGTTTCCAACACTGACTGTAAACACATCCTGAGTAAATATGAGAAACAAGCACGAGAAATAAATATCAGACATAAACAAAGGGTGGAATCTAATTAGCAGTTCTATCGAGACAGTTAAAGTGAAAAATCCAGAGAATTTAGAGACAGGGAGGGGGGCAACACGTTGTGTTGAGGGTGCAATCTTACTCCATATTACAAAAAATGAACAATTTCTCCAATTAATCCTGTGTTCCGAGACAACTATGAAGAGGAAACCCCCCTTCGGCTACCACTAGACCTGTCAACGGTTAACTTTATCTCAAATTGGAAAATACTTCCTTACAAAGAAGCTAACAAAATGCAAGACAGCGAAAAATTTATGTGGAGACAACATAACCAGGAAATATATTCAACACTTTCGAAGTTTTATTCCAATAAATTCCTCTTGTGTTCACTCAGTGTTATTGAACAACTTCGATATCATAGCAAAACCTTGATGAAGTTTTTTTTTCGAAAATCAGGTGGAAAACATGTAACCTACCGGAGTCTCCTCGTCCATAAGGTAGGCCCCATGCCCCTTGCTGATGGCCTCTCTATATTCTTTGTGCGCTTGTTCCTTCTCCTTCACTTCACCAACGATATGCTTACCATTGATAAACGCCTCAAAGCCAGAAACTACGAAAAGAAGGACAGAGTTTGTTAAACTCCGATTCAAAAATACTGCGAGAGCTTTTTAGAAACAGCAGGCCCAATTCGTCAGCAACGTGAACCCTTAAGTTCGAATTCATTCTCTCAAGAAAACTAAGGAAAAAACAGTTACAGATAATTGAATCCCCTGGATAACTTGATAATGTAAGATAGTTTACCCCTTTGCTAAAACCACATACATGTCCGACAGTCATCTGCAGTAGCCAAGATACAAATTACAGTAGCTTGCTTTTCCTACGAAAGTCCATCGCACAAGTTTTTTAAAAAGAGTTTTTTATTTTTCTATAAACTATCAAGCCGTTGACTAAAGACAAACCTGCTGCCATGTCGTCCAGAGGGAAAACGTATTTAGCTTCTATGGGTGTCGAGCTGTTATTGTTGTACTGTTGAAAAACTATCACCTGTGGAAAAAAAATAAAAAAAAAAAATCTGTACAAGCTTATCATTGCCAAAAATTCAACCAAAGGCTATTGGGAAGAGGTGATAGGAACTTCGGGCACCTTAAAATATTAAGCCAGATCGCTTGCAATCCGTTTCAATCTTCTCCATCCACGGCCGCACCTTCTTCCTTCTTAAATTATTATTGCTTCTCTTGTGTTTTGCTATCTTACCATACTAATATTTCATTGCTTCTCTTATGTTTTGCAAACTAACCAAACTAATATTTTGTAGTCATTTGCAATCCGAGTCAATCTGCTCCATCCTTGAGTATACCTCTTACTTCTTGGTTTATGTTCGCATCTTCGATTTTTTTTCACCATGCTGATATTTTGTAGCTAATATTTTGTAACCTCCTTCAAGATGAGATTTATATTTCGCGTCACAGAAAACGGAAAAACTGTGACGCAAAATCACAGATCGCAATGCAGCTCAATCAGACATTGCTTTTTCTTTTAACAAATACGGAATGAATGATGAAGTCTAACAAATCAGCTCAAACAAATTTCCTTCAACAATTTGACCAACCTGAGCCGCCAGATCTAACAACCTGGCTCTGATATGAACTGACTGCAACGGGAAGGGTTTGTCTCCAGTCCCCTTGAGTCCTGCCTCGACTCTAGTCAGAGGATCCACAACTGACATTACATCCGTCAGGTCCACACTGCCATGGTGGTCTTGGAAAAAGTATTTTAAATCACACTGGTTACGATTTCGGCTGCTACGAGGGCATGCTCGAAAGCTCTACCAATAGCAGAGCGCAGATCAAAAGCAAGGAAAATATAAGCTGGAACAAATGAAAAATCCAGGAAAAAACAAGCAAACTGTATAAAGCTGAACTAAGTGAGGCTGGGAGTTATGTAGGAGTTTCAGGTAGCAGCAACGCAAAAAATGAGTAGCGAAGCCGCCAGAGAGTTGAAAAAAGGAGATTTCTTATCTCCATGTTCCCAAGCTCGTCGGCTGAACAAGATTATTGAGGCGCGAGAAAGCGTGGGTGACCAAGTCGCAAATGGTTTAAGTCTTGCACTTGATTGGTTTAGATCGCAGCGTGTGTTTTCTAGACCAATCACGGAGCATGGTAAAGCAAAACCAAAGAAATTCCGGATAAAATTTGATGTTTAATTCAAAATCATCATATAAAAACCCTAAACGGGATGACAGCCCATCGTACTTTATAAACTTCGTTTCCATCTTGATAGACTTATTTCACAATTTCTTATCGCGTAATATAAAATAAAAGCTTCCTGTCACCTTTATTTTAGAAACCTACAAAAATGGCAAAATGGAAGAAATTCATTCCATACCTTCAGTGTCAGTTTCCGAGCTATCATCGAAAAACCCGCTATCAATCGAGACATCATCTCGATCAGAGACTTCGACATCACCAGGCAACACAAACTCAACAAGATATCTTTAAAAAAAACAAAAAATGAAATGTAAACTGTTCCAGATCTTTAGACTGATATGTTACATCCACGTATTATAAATGGAAGTCAAAGGTCTCAAAACAGCAGCAAATAAATCGGCCCATAGCTGCCGAGGCTTAACGCGGTTTTCTTTTTAAGCATTTTGTGACTCAGGGTAGTGGTCAGCCTTAGGTAAACGTCCTTACTCCTTCCCCCCCATCCCCTCCCTTGAAGCATTTCTTGACAGTAATCAGGTACCCGTTTACACCCCTGACCGGGGTGGGGAGATACACTGGAACCCTTCCGACTTTGCCAAAAACAAAAAAGCATTTCCCGGCCGAGGCTCGACACAGTTGATTTTATATATCCAGAATTGATTATGATGTAACTTATCTTTAAAAAATAAATCCATCTAGCAACAAACAAATAATTAGCATAGAAAATATTCTCATGATAATATGTGTTGATATACCACCAAATTCTCCCGACTAATTTATAAGAAAATGTAAAGCATTTTGTGGGGATCATTATGAATCAGATCTATGAAGTTCCCTAAACTGCAAGCCTCAAAGGCTGGCGATGGAAAGAAGCACGCACATACTATTCCAGTTACCTTATTTTCTGCTGGTTCCCGTTGTAGATGGCAAATTCGTCGTCCTGAAGGGTAAAAACGACGAGTTAATATGACACAAATTTTGTCAGTTACATTAGCCTGATGAAAGCAACTTGCTTATTCTAAATGCATTAGCAACTGACCTTAAAGTCAGAAGGCCCATCATCTGTGCTTCTCATTCCATGACAGCTGCTGTAACCTGGTGGAGGCGATGTCAAATCCATGGCAAACGTCTTGAACTCCTGAGGAACCATATAACACGAAAGAATAATGTTAGTTTTAATCACTGAATCATTATCAGTTGTTGCTTATGTTTTGAACGTCACAGCTTCCAGGGGGCAACCTGGAATTGCCTTGCATCTCATGATCAAGGTGGAGTTGCAATAATCTTGCTTGTTTTAAAGTACAGAAATCTCGACAAGCTTTGATTGCAAACTGCCACTCAAACGCAATGTAATCTGTCTAACCAGAAGGGCCTCTTAAGGATGCCATGGAGTTTCGGCAGCCTGCATGTTAACGTCTCCATTTCTATTTGCCTCATCAGAGCGTTTTCCGTGGGAAGCAGAGAAAATAGGGGATGTTTTCAAATAGGCTATAGTTTTTTGTGTTTTTACCTTGACTTTTCCCAAGGCGACCTCATTCACAAGCATGAGCCTTGATCCCTTGCTTCCAGGCGCGGAGTACTTGGCACTGGTGCTGTGTTAAGAGAGAGTAAGGAAAAGATCCATTTTGAGCTCAATTTTGATAGACACAAAATATCCGTCACCAAAATCCATCGATCTTTTGCTTCCCTTTCTTCGCCTACTTAAATGGAACAAGAGATGCAACTCGGACTATCAACCCTGCGTACAGCAAACGCCCCTCTGTCTACCAAAAGAAAGACAGAGTATCTTATTTTGAGGAACGATAACTTCACCAAGGTTGCAGACTAACAACGAGTCAACCAAAACCGGCGGAAGATATCCCCACGCCGCGTGAACGTGTGACTTCCCAGAGTTCACCCTGTGAGGAGATCTTTAATCACCGATTAATACTGTTTCAATCAATGGAGAGGGACTGACTGTCAATTAACGAGGCTGGATCAATCAGCTCACACATAGCTCATACCTAGCAGAATTGGCGAAGTATATTCCGCTTCCTAACATTCCTGGGTCTGAACGTTGTCCACCGAAGTCATCCACGACAATTTTAGGCATCAAAAGCCCTCTGCAAAACATTCAAACATACTTAACTTCACGTGTTGCTCTCCTATTCTAGAATATGATACTGTACATACAAGAGTCTTGAGGGTTCGAGAGATAGAAGAGAATAAAGCTCGTTAAAATTTCGAAGACTGTTATGATAATAAACCAAAATCTAGATATAATTCAAGAAGACGTACCTTGAAAGTATGCCCACAAAGTTTGCCACCTGCAATAAAAGTTCGCATCACTTAAAAATGCCATTTAAATACATGCAGCCACCTTTCTTCAGCTCCACTGTGCATTTGCGTACGTATCTTTCGTAAAGGAAACCTTCAGCTGGTAAATTTTAACTCGCTTTATTTAATATCCTGCCCTGGAGCCGACTCCGTTTAACGGTTAAAGATTTCAAGTGTGGTTAAAACTAAAACACAGAATTATATAACGAAAAACTTTGAAAGAAAACTAGAGAAAAGAAAAGAGTGAAGTTAATGAATAACATTTACATGTGCCGTTGTTCTTTTTTTTAAGCTGCGATTTGCGCGGAGAACGAACTAGGAGGCCTTATCGTATTATACCACAAAAGAAAGATGTAGTGACTGGAGCGAGGAATTACTAACCAAATCATGGCAGTTAACGCGTTACTTTTGCAAATAGCGCTCACCTTCGATGCGTGGAAAAGAAGAGTGTTATTTCCAATGTGACCAGAAAAGGCACTTTCCTCCACAGGCCGGTGGATAGAGTATACATTGAGAACATCAATCTTTGGAGGGCTGACAAACAGAAGAACATTTTCAAGTTATATTCATGAGGTTATTACAACCCTTTTACAACTGTCTTACGTCTGTTCAAGGTCTGAAAATAAATTCTCCTTACCGTCTGCGATACAATTCTTATGATGCTAGCGTGGAGAATTTGGCGTTGGCTCAACCAATAATCTGCTCATTGATATTTTTATTTATTCTCATCTCATGTCTCCTTGGTATTGTATTGATACGGTAAGGAGAAATTCTATCTTGGTCACTCATGGGACTGAGTTAAAGGATTGAGTCTGCATTTTGAGCTAAGTGACCCACCCAGCCAGAGCTTACCCTGGTTTCCAAAGCATGAAGCAACTAGGAGTATCACAACCCTCCCCTGGATGGGATGCCAGTCCATCGCAAGGTTACCCCCCCGGCTTTTCGTCAGGCTTCTCTAACACTCACAGTTTGTCCATACCCGTTTATATTTCTGGGTGGAGAAGCACTGTGTAGGTAAAGTGTTTTTTCCAAGAATACAACACATTGAAGCAGCCAGGTCTCAAACCTGTGGTCCGGTGCACTACCCTGGAGGCCACCTCGTCTTCCACCCTTTCGCATGATTACAGAAAATTATTTGTAATTGATTCAAACACTTTTAGTATGCTGTCTAATCCCCGGAGGTGTTGCTACAATTGTGGTTGTTTTGTAGTAAAATTCTCAACTGCAGATTTATGCACTAAACTCACAAGCTTAAATGAGTTAAAAGATCTCTGTTCAGTTCAAGTTTTAGCTTTTCAACCTCTTTATATCTCTGCTTTAATCTCTTACCTTGTTTCACTTGATTTAACAAGCTTCTGGATTTTTTGGAACTCATCACTGTCGTGGTGAAGGCATTCAATATAGGACTTGAGTGCCCTGTACTTTGAATGCACATCTTGTCTGGTTTTCCAGTTTGTAGACTCGCCAATGCTAACCATGTCTTTAATGAGCTGTCAAAAAAGAATGAATAAGAAACAATGAGAAGAAACAGGCAGCCCTAGGATACTTCACTAAACCTAATACAATCTTAAAAGTTTTTGTATTGTATCATTCAGTATTTTAAAATTGGCAAATTAATGAACTGCCCCTCAAGTGCAGTAAAATCTAAGCCATTTACAAGGATGTTTAGGATCAACGGTATAACTGACAGCTGTCTTTTAACTCTTTAACCCTCCGAAGCGATTAATATATAACTTTTCCCTATTAAATCCATGCACTATCCATCAAACAGGTAATAATTAACAACTATTCACTGAAGTGGAGGTGGTTAGTGGTGGATATTTACRTCCACCGCTAAGCACCGACACTGAGGTGAATAGTTATTTTAGTATATACTAAAACAGTGAGATAACATACACTCCACCATTGTTAATTTGAGTGATTTCTTTGCTTGTCACTGATGCAAACCGGGACGCCATATTTTCCCGAGTTGCTAGGAGGTAAATAGCAAAGGATATTCGGAGTTTGACTAGCCAATCAGAGCGCACCTTCAACGCCATCCACTGTTTTAGTATATACTAATTAAGGATACTCAAGCACAACAGGTAGAAGTTGGTATCTTTAACAAACACCAATACCTGGTAACTAATTTACAAGGAAATGTGTAGCAATTAGAGGGGATTACCAATTACCAATTATAAGATCTAGGGGTTGACTGACCATCCCCACACACATGATCAGAGATACTCCAGTATTACCCTATATTTGAAATGTTCCTTACTTGACACAAGTCTTGTTTTTGAGCAATGAGGCGCTTAGATGTTATATTTTCTCCCCTGTTCTTATGAGGAATAGCTGAGAAAAACTCATCAGATAGCTGTGGAATAGTGCTGACCCCTTCATCACCATCTAATGATTTTCTCAATAAAAGTAAAATTGCTTCAGCTTTCTCTACATCCTCAAGTTTAATGGAACTGAGAGGAATGGCCAGAATATCCACCAGACTGCCTACTGCCTCATTCCAAATGTAATTAATGAGGTTTGCAACTTCAGGGGAGATTGTAGAATCTTCCTGTGAAAACAATTCATCCTTTGCCAACTGGAAAGAGACAAGAGACATGGATTATCATCAATAAACAAAAAAATATATATTTCCTGGTGTGGTAGGTTTAAGACATGTTGTATCTTGTCCAACAATATGACAAAATTGAGCTTACTCTTCCAAACCACAACCTTGTCTTACATTACCAGTAAATGGTTTGAACCTGTGAGCAACATTTGATCTTGTAGTCTAATCAACTGGGTGAGAGTAGTCCCAAGAAGGCACATTTTTGGAAAGTAAAGACATTAGTGAGTTAACTTTGATGATGATTTCTACTAAGGTTATCAAAGCATCAGTCACTTCTATCAACAACAATCCTTCTCAGGACTATTCACACAAGGTGCCCATTTCTCGAACCAGCAAGTTAACAGGCCCAAAGCCATATTTAAAAATCAAAATTGAAAGGATAGAAAAGCAGTTTCTGGAACCCAAACCAGTTCATTTTGTTCCTTTAGACAACTTTTGAAACCCCCATCTTTAATGAAAACAGAACAGTTTTATGGGGCTGTTAAGTAACTGGGACTTTCCAGAAAAGGGTCCCAAGACAATCAGACCACACTGTCAAATGTTCCTTGTCTGTGATGATAACTATGTAATATATAGGGAAATACCTACCTGTTTCAATTTGTCAGAGCCAATTTTGCCAGGTGATGGATATTTTGATAATTTCTTGTATCCATTTGAATACTGCTGATCTATTAGAGCAATAAAAGCTCTAAATGCCTCTTCAGAAGAGTTGAAATACCTACATTCCTTTGTTCCTTCATCATTTCCCTGCAAGAATCAAATGTAAAGGTTAATCCAAAATAAATCACAATTTCAACAATATTCTTTACATTTGTTCAGGTTTTCTTGTGCATTGGACACAATGGGAGAAGAATTAAAGTGCAGATTTTTAGTCAGAATTTCAGCACCTCTTGAAACTGCAACCCACAGCCCTGGAAATCCCCAAAACTTGGGGTATCATCAAAATGCTATCAATTTGAAACATAAAGTGAATGCACATTATTAAGTCTTGTACATCATATGCATCAGGGCTCCAAATTTACTAATAAGTGACCTAAAATCATGAGAATTGTCACTTAAAATAAAATTTTGGTCACTGGAAGACAATTTCTGCAATATTTTATATTATCATATAGCAAGGTAGTCTTTAGGTAAATCCAAGCATTTTGAATGGTTCTTACTTATAGTTGGGGTTTTCCATACGGATGGTTTCCACAAAAACAGTCATAAGAAGTGTTCATGAAAGCTGGTGAATTCAAACTAAACAAGTTTGATCCAAGTGCCATATTATAACAAATTACTTACTGACCTTCCTTGCTTGAGCCATACTAGGGAATATTGGCCCTCTGTCCATACTGCAACAACCTCGGGCCAATAGACCACTTTCATAAATGGCTGCCGGATTAATATTCTTTTGTTTAAATTTAAATTAGCCCTACTGGCCTCATTCTCCAGTACAAAATTCAAAAGAATACATTATCTCAAGCGAGGCCAGTAGGGCTAAGTTAAATTTAAACAAAAGAATATTGATACGGCAGCCATTTATGAAAGTGGTCTATATTCCCCAGTGGTGCTCTTGTGCTTGGTTAGTGAGAAGTTAATAGACGAAAGTGCTGACCACCTTGCTTGTCTTTAGCATTACAACTCAAGGGTTAATACTAGGGCAGAGTTTGCTACTTGAAGTTCATTTTACATCTGTGAGTGCACTGAATACCAATGTGAGAGATACATTGGTGTTTTCCATATCTTGTTCAGGAAACTACAACAGTAAGGCTGTCTGCACTAATATCATCAACTGCAAATTTTAAACATTTGAATGTACCTATAATATGTGGTTCAACTTTTCTTTAGGTTTAAATTTTTTAAACTTGTTTGAGCAATGTTTTCCTCAGTCTTATATTCATTATCATAATCTAACACAAAATGAGACAAAATTCAAACTGATTTAACAGTTTCACAACTTTCCAAAATTTGAACTTACCATGATGAATCCTCCCAAGGTACCTTGGTGCGTAAATAGGCGGTATCTTGAGCTGTTACAAGGTACATGTGAAGGAATGAAGTGCAACTCCACAGAAAAAAGAGAAAGGGGACCCTCACCAGGATTTGTTTTCTGAAAGAGACAATGCTCTAGGGCATCAATTATGATTATCTAATTGCTAGGGGTTGTGATTGATTCTTTGAAAAAGTGCCAATTAAACATAACTTTAGTCTAAACTTGACATTTTGTCAGCCTTTTTGGGGAGTCTCCAAGTCAAGCAAATCTTCAAAAGTTCTTACTAGTCTGGGAATCGTACTCGTAGCTCTAGTTTCAGAGCTAGAGCAGGGCTCCAAGCTTATTTTCTCAAAATGCCACCTCTAAGAAACCTTCAGTTGTAAAATGGTTACCATAGAAAAAATGTTCGTCACCCACTCAAAAAAACAGACGGTCCTATTCATGAGAAGACACTTCATGTCCATTACATGACCATGCAGTACAACTGCAACACTTTCATTAGCAAATTTGTATGTTCACACCCTCTTGCCAAGTTGCAATGTATGTTACAAAAAGAAAAGAAACAAATATAAGCACTGAGTAGTTTAGACATTAGCAATTGACTCAAGTGCCATTAAGGAAGAATTCCATCTAATAAGTGCGTCTTTAAGAGAATTAATTATCACATAATTTTTTATCGGTACTGTCAGTAGACCTTGGAAGTTGAGTGGCCATATTGCTTATATACAGCTTATAATTTTAGTTGATCAGAGCATTACCGCTAGTACGGCATCTTTAACAATTTCACAGTTTGGCTCATCAAACTCTGGACCATCCACTGCTTTATAAGACCACACCCTATTAAAAAGAAAGGTGGAGATTGAACGAAAGCATTACAGAATCATACATTTTTAATTTGGCTAGCAAGCCTGCTGGCCCATCACATTGAAGGTTTTTAACTGGTTTCCTTCGCACAACTTCGTAACATCACAGAGAGGCCAGTGTTGTCTACTGAATCCCTGTTCTGACATAAGAAAATGTTCTATTGCTAGTACCCTGGATTTCCTTCAGAGTGAAACTGATCAACCATTCTCAAGACTGTGGTACACAAAGTTTTGATAATCAGTATTGAGAGACACTAATGCTTTGACCCTTTCACTCCTAATATCAAATTGGTAATTCTCCTTATATGTCTGCCATACAATTCTTATGATGTTAGTTCAGAGAATTTGGTATTGGATCAACTAATAATTCCATAATTGATATCTGTCCTCATTCTCATCACTTGTCTGCTTGATATTGTAATTGATATTGTAAAGAGAAATTCTGTCTTGGTCACTTGTGGCAGTGAAAGAGTTGAGTCAGAACTCTAAAAGCAGATATCAATTAGAATTACATCAATGAACAAAATCTCGCATTCTGATCGGTTAACAAAGGGAGGTATTTAGTGTGGAATTGCAAGTTGAAAATGAGGCTAAGTGATATTATTTTGCATCTACATATACATGACAATTACAAGTAAAGCTGTTTTCTTTTTTTTTTCATATTTTTATTCAATTATATGTGATTCAAAGAAAATCCTTTACTTGACTTGTGAATTCTGTGTTAAATTGCACTTGAAAACTGATATTGCACTCATCACTTCACGATTTGTGTGATATCAGTTTTTGCGTGCAATTTATTGCGTAATTCCCTCATCAAGTAATGAATTTTCCTATAGTATTCAATCAAAAGTACTAATCATAATAACTAGTCTGTGACCATGTACCATACTCCCATGGCTGACATTAATAATAACATATCTGATCATTAATAATAACATATCTGATATATATTTCATTGCACCTACTTTATTCTTTTGAGATCTGGAGGTTTTTGTTTCTTTGTAGCTTTGGTTGCATTGTCTTTCCTTTGGCTCTTGGCTACCATAATGATATATGAAGTATTGCATGCAAATAAGACAAATTTAGCAGAGCTAGAAACTGCAATACTCTTTTCTAACCTCCTATGTTTCTGTTTCAAGGATGGTGAAAAAAGGGAGACAGTTACGTGCAATGGGTAGGGCTGTTATAATGGAGGACTTCATGTATGAGATACAGCGATCAATTTGACTCAAGTGTAGTATATGTGGTAGGCTTAGTAAGTGTAGTTAGCCTTTAGTGTAGTAAGTGTAGTCTGTATACTTTATGTATGCCTATGTGTAATGCAACCTATCGCAATACCTCTAGTGAGTGCTACAGAAGTTACCACCTAAAAAATAACAAATAGCACTCTAGACAAAAATATGGGAGATACAGCAGCTTAAAATTTAATGTGCTGGACTTGATTGAAAGGTTTGATGTATCCCCTGATAAGTTTACTTTAAAAATTTTGTATGCTCACAGATGGTCCGTTAATCTCTTGGAAAATATTAATTTCTTGTTATTTTGTTATGTTAAAGATTCTTCAATCGATTTGCAACTTTTGCTAAGGTCTGTTTTTTTAATTTAATTAAGCACTCAAAAAAAATTTCAGAGCAACGACAGAATACAGGGCCATTGAGTGAGTTGTTCAAAGCATTTTTGGTTATTGGAGGACTTAATATATATGAGGATACAGCGATCAATTTGACTCACATCATTGAGTTGTTCAAAGTATTTTTGCCAGTTCCACATTAAAAAAAAGTCATCATGCTTTTTATCTGTTATATGTTAGAAAGCATAATTTGAATGACTTGTTTGGTATATATGATATCTTCCTACAAACTTTTCAAGGTTGACTGATTTGGAGTTTAGGATTTGATAAAAAAAAAAAATCTGAAAGTGAGCAGAGCTAACAATCCTAATGTGCCTCAATAACCCAGTTTATGTTGCATTATAAGTAACCATAAGTATTCTAACTCCCCCCACTTACTGGGTATACGACATGTAGTCACTTGAAGGTTACCTCCTGGCATTTCATCAAATTAACCCGACAACATGTGATTACCAATTTACTCCTGGGTGGAGATACTATGAAAGTGAAGTACTTTGCCAGAAACTGAACAAAATATCTCTGCAAGGCCAAAATCAACAATTCTTGGATTAAAGTCCAACACCTCATATTTGATATCGCAGTATTATATGTCAGTCAAGGGCGGGGTTCAAACAAAGACCATTGCGCTTTTGAAGCATTACATCTGATAAGTCAACAGTAACATAAAATCAACATGAGTGAGTACAAGAAAAGTTTGTCCCTGCTTACCAACAATCTTTCCTGAACTAAAGTTCTGTGATTCAAGTGTTTTTGACAAAGCAAAAGGCTGCGGATCAACCAGTTTTCCAGACTTGATGCATTCAGTGATGAAATCAAATGGAACCACTGGAATTCCAAGTTTAACTGCAGTTCTTCCCTTATATGATGACAAAGTTCGTTCAGAATCACCAGTCACCAAAAAGTTTGTCTGCAGAAAAAAATTCACATTTTGTCTATGAAGCTTGCAATACAGAGAAATATCTGAGTTTTAACAACACATAACTGTTGCCACACAATTCAAGCATTTCAAATTAGAGGGTGCATGCATTCTTGTAGACTACTAGATTCCCAAGCTAAATTTCCTTATATCATGTTTTAGTATAATTTCAGAGCTGAGCAAAGAGTTTCCAGTGATCTGATTGGTTGAGCGGTTCCTTATATGATACTATATAAACCGCTCCACATGATTTATATAAAATGTTAAAATAAAATGTGAATAAATGTTACTAAAATGTTATGATTTTAGAAATTTCTCTGTTGTTTAGCTCTGAAATTATACTAAAACAATTATTTGCCCCAGGTTTGACAAATATTGTTGAATAATCCTCTTGACTTCGTCTCGGCGATTATTCAATGATATTCACCTCGCCTTTGGCAAATAATTGTTAAATAGAGACGGGGAGAAGTGGTGTATGTAAGTGGTGATTGAGGGCTTTATTCAAAGTAACCCTTAAATTTATTGTCTTAAAATCTGATTTGCTATTAAAAGGTAAGAATATTTTCACTTTTTTCAGAAGGCAGGTAGAGGTATTGCGTCTTTATGTCAGTACATCCCTCATATGTCAGAATGACACTAATGTAGAAACAAACCCCTTCCCCTCCCTGCCAAGGTCCCCAATTGCAATATTTACGTGATGATTGAAAAACAAGACTGTCATAGCTCTAAAAAAAATGAAAAAGAAACCTTTCAGGCTGTGAGAATTTCAGGCCAAAAAGAAGCAGAATTACTCTTTCATTTTCTACGATCAGTTGCAAAAATTTTTCCTTTCACCAGCCATACACTGTTTACAATAATTTTTAACGAAATCAATCACCAAGAACTTACTTTAGTTTGCCTTACAAATGGATACAGGTGCCCTACTTTCTGTGAAAGAATCACGGACCAATTAACATTGTCAGATCATCTATAACACCGAATTTAAAATCACACAAATTTGGTTATTGAAAGAGTACAAATCATGTAAACTTTTAAATAATATCCTCATGCTATTTCCGACCTACATGCTAAGCCAAGTGTCGTTGTGCTCAAGGAGATATGTTGTAACGTTTGAAAAAGCTCTTCGTTCAAATTGACGTGGAGAAAAAAAAAGCTTTTCAAATATATAGTGTGTTCCCTACATGGCAGGGAACCTCAACACGCATAGGTGGGATTACTTGTACCTGTTTCGATAGCACATGTGACAATGTACCCCCATTCTCTACGATCTTTTGTCGAATCTCTTGCTTCCCTTTGAACGTTAGAGACAAAGACGCAGCAAAATCGGCCACAAACTGGCAATTTTCAAAGATGCTGGAGACTTTCAAAATTCCCATGGCTTTCTACGACAGAAAGCATACACCTTCTGCTTTCATCTTGCACTTTCTGCGGAAAGCTGCGCTGTCAGTTCTAAATGAAGAGATGGCCTGGAAATGAACCTTCAACAAGGGCCAAGGAAAATCGGGGGGAGGGGTGGAGGCGTACCAGTCAAACATCGGGCATGAGCGAGACCCCGCTAAGTAATTTCAAAGGACAACATAATAAATAACCACTGTCACGAAGAATAAGCGAAAGAAATTTGAAACGTTCATAAATGTCTGTAAAAAGAAACAAAAATGGGGAAAAGGAAAAACTCGAGACTTCTCAAAGAACCTTTTCAAGTATGTGTTCTGGTCCCGATTGTTCGAGGGATGGATAACGCTATCCAATGGATAATTCTCTTTCTACTGGATAACGCGGTACGTTTCCTTGACACTTATCCAATATATAGTGATTTATCCGTTGGATAGCGTCATCTACCCTTCGAACAACTGGACCCTAATCTCTATCAAAGAAGTTATACGCTTTTAAAACTAGCTCGTGTGGTCAGGGCTATAACTCGAGTGAGACAAGTCGGTTAAAGTACGGTAACCAGCCAAGTCGTCCGAAAGTCATCTCGCCCGAGGTCATGTCGCCCGAAGAAACAAATACTTAAAGATCAATGATGATACCGTTGATCGGCGAAAGCTTGGATTTTAAATTTCACTTTTTACAGCAGTTTAAGGCCTAATTCGAACAGTTTGTATACTTTAACAATGCCCCTGAAGGACATGAACAATTTAATCAGACTTACAGACTGTAAATAGCCAATATCGTCTTGTTTTCTCAAGTTTTCTAATTGTTTTTGTTTGTTTTGAACAAAACGATTGTTTTCAAACTACTCATTGCTAGTTGAATAATTTGGATATATCAACAAAGTTGAAAAGGTAAATTGGCCACCGTAACGATTACAAAAGCTGACGTTTCGAGCGTTAGCCCTTCGTCGGAGCGAATAGAGGAATTGTGGGTTGTGTGTGCTTTTAAAGGCAGAAAATGGAGCTACGTTATTGGTGGGAACATGGCAACGAGAAAAACAAGAATAAATTAGTGGAATGAAAAGCGTTCGTTGATCCCTGTGGGATTTAGACTGCCGGTTTGAAAGATGAGCTTTTGTTCAAGATTTTTACGGCTTTCCGTGCTACCTAAGTGTAAGGAAAGACCGCAGATTGCCATATGTTGCTTAGAATGATTAGGTAAATTAAAATGTCTAGCGACTGGTTTCGATGTGTCCTTGTCATTCCTTTCCACGTCTCGAAGGTGTTCTCGGAATCGGTCACCTAGTCTTCTGCCTGTTTCGCCGATGTATATCTTTTTGCAATAAGTGCAAGTTATGCAATAGATTACATTGGCGGAGGTGCACGTGAAGTGATCGGTGATCTTAATGGATCGTTTAGGTCCCGATATTTTATCAGTGTTGTGAATGAAAGGACACGTTTTGCATCGTGCACGAGCGCATTTAAAAGTGCCTGGTTGGTCATTAGNAGTTTTGATATATCCAAATTATTTCGTTACCCCCACCGACGCAGCCCCTAACAGCTTCTTTTGAAACTATCAGCCTTTACTCATTGCTAGTTTTGCTAAGCCCCGATTCAGACGAGTCATGACAAATAACAGCGGAAGAAAATTCGAGCCTTTTTTAGCATGGGCAGACGATGAGGAAAGCCCTTTAGCAGATCACCTAATGCCAAATGATTATTCGTCATCAAAGGGAAGCGAAGCGCCCTGTGCCAACGTAAACAATAGCAAGCATTTGAATTTTCCGTCACCTAAACGCCTTAGACAGCACAGATGGAAAGGAAAGAAGTCAACATCATCCGTTCAGATCTTTGAAGATAAGAATTACCCTCCTGATGATTGTGATAATGTGCCCTGCGTTAGCTCGCGCCTTACTCCTAATGAAGTATAGAATTTATGGCTTGGCAGGATCATCTTAAAGGGGGCGAAATGTTTTCTCTTCCTTTCTAACTCCTTATTTAAACAAAACAAAGTAATTAGATATTTTGAAATTGTTTTAGTCAAAAAGGTACAATGAATCGTTTGTATCGATTAAATCCCTTTTTAGTGTGACCAGAGAAATATAAATTAATCCCACGTGAAATAACTGTACGTGGTAAAAACAATACATGTAAAGCAAAGGGGTAAAATATTTGCATTTCAGACTGACTCTTCTAAACAGAGACAGCTTTACTTGTAATCAACTGTGTTAAATGTACTGATGCATTTTCACTTAAATATCTGATCTTCTGTCCTGTGACGGGACTTGCGTTCTGGTAACTTAAACTTCGGATTAGCTCGATTCGGGTTCCCAACTTAAACTGAGACTAAGACCGGCAAAGAACAACACGCATGAAAACAGCGTGGACAAGAAGTGTTTTAAAATAGCGTTCAGTAAGTGTTACTAGTCCTTCCTAATCATTAATAATTTTTGGTGTTTCTTTCTCGACGAAGTAGGGAGTACGCACATTGTTTTGTGGTAGTTGAGTTTAACAAATCGACAGTGTTTTAACGTGGTCCATCCGATAAGAGTCGATAAGAGTATAGGCCACGCTAAACAACTATCGATTCGTTTTTCACCACAATATCGACGTAAAATAAAACGATTCTTTCAATGTGGGACACGTTTCGTGGCACGTTGACGCTAGCAGCGTTGTCTGTACTCTTATCGGTAGCGGCAAATTGGCCAATCAGATTGCGACATTACTTTCATTTGTGGTAAAAATTCCGTTACAGGTCACTATGAACATTTGTGGACAGCTTGGACCTTATGCGGCACTCTTCAATGTTTGAATGATTGACTTGCTCTTTTCTTGGCGCGGTGCCATCCGTTTGCCTTTCAGCGGAACGGAGGGTACTTCTTTCACACCTGAGACGAAATCCGCTTTGATGGCCTCTGCACGTGCTATCAATTCACCAAGAGAATGAAGTCATGTTCTCGTAACGCTCAGGCGACCAGGAGCCAACGAATGTCTGAAAACGAAGGAGGAGATTCGCTGTCAAACACTGCCCCTCTTGTCACACCAAGTAGGGCAAGTTCTTAAATAAATCAGAATAGATAACTAAGTATTAACAGACTGAAACAAAAGCTGCATTCATCGTAGATCCCTCACACTCTCAAGCGCCGCTGAGCCACACATAAAATTTACCCTCAAAATGTGGCACCTTTTAAACACTTTTTGACGAGAGAAAACCATGTAAAGAAAGATTAATCAACAGAAGACTTTGGAGTCGATTGACTCCGATCCTTCTCGGAAAATCGGAAACACGCGTCTCATTTCTTGGAATAAACAACAGGTAACCTCACTTTCCTTAACCTTCCCTTACCGGAAAGGCTAAATAGAATTATTTGTGGGGAAAATAAATAATAAAGAAAACAAACCGCGCTCTTGAGATTTGTCTAGCAAACAAATAGAGACAAGGCTATAACCAATCGCGACTTGCTCACCTACTATACGTTTTAATTTAACGCGCTTCAGATCGCTTACATAACTGCTTTCTGCTGAGTTCTCTTTGGCTCCCTACAATTTTCTCTTCTCATTAGCAATGTTTTATTACTTTGGTATTGCTATAACGACATTTAATGGAAAAGCGCTCTGGGATGAAATTTGACGGCAACTGACCCACCATGTAACTTCAACTAACATACAGATCAAAATCTGAAGTCTCAAACAAATGGCGAAACCGTACCTTGACTAGGCACAACCTTCGTGTACCCACTTTTTGCTTGGTCCATTGTTGATGTAGGTTATTTCATCCACTCTTGCCTTAATTGGCCTCTTGCACAGGTGACAGATCTGATCAAATTTTGCGGTAAGGGACCCTCTTCTCCCTTTCGCGGGGGTACCTTCAGATTTATCGCACGGTCTCTTTCGAGGAGAGTTGGTGGAATGAAGTTTTGGAGACGAGGCAGGTTTCTGGATTGGTATTTTTGGTGGTGTAGGAGGAGCACCACTACCAAAAACTCTTCCCTCTGATGCTTGAGGAGTTTTGTCTCCTGTCACACTTGTACCGCCACTTGTGCCAACAACGCTTGCACCACTTACTTTTTCTTTAGACGAAGAAAAGGACGCTTGTTTTATTTCTTTAGAGAGCAATTCTTTGAGCTTCGTGTGTCTCTCTTTTGGCTTGGATACTGTCACCACTTTTCTTAAATGGTCGGGGTCATAGACCATTATTACTTGTCTGACGCCTCGAGTGACAGCGGTGTAGACGTGCTGCCAGTTTTGAAAGCTGGGACTACCCAGGACATAAACTATTTTATCAGTCTCTGAACCCTGCAAAACACAAACGAAGATATGTAATTTAAAATAAGCTTTTTTACCATCTGCGGGAAAATATAAGTTCAGATAACTAAGCACTACAGAACGGTCAGACTATAGATTTTTCGAGATCAGCAAAATCAGTGAAACCGAACTGATAAGGGAAGGGGTCAGATCGTTGTATAAAAAATCTACGAAGTTGGCATCCAAATCGGTATTTGTAGATTAAGGGAAAACATGCAAAGCTGTAGCCACTACTCAAAGCCAGGGCTGGTTCATAAAAGAAGAAAGTGAATTTTTAACATCGAACTGTTTTTTCTTTTTTTTTTTTGTACAGGGGTGAAAAATAGGAGAGGAATTCTAATAGCTTCTGATTTCATCGATTCGATCACATTGTGGCCTTAAGAATCTGAGAAGAACAAGATGGTCTTGCTCTAGTAAATAACTACCTGCTACTTAAATTGTTGATAGTACCTGGAAAGTATGAATAGTCTTTGCCCAAGCATGGCACAGTTTAGCACTCTTCAATGACTTTATGTCCACTTTCACCATCTTCTGCCCATCATCGAGAACAAAGTATGTAATTTTTGTTCCTCGGTTGTCCTTTTCTACACTGATGTTTTCAATAAAGAAAATTTCCCCATTGGATAATTTCACTTCAGTCTCCGTGCCAGCATCAAAGCACTCCTTGTTCTTTCTGATGCATACTTTATCACCAATTCTGAAATCATCTTTCCCTCTGGGGTCTTCAAGGAGTGATTTTCGTAATGTTTACAACACAGCTCATTAATTTTCAAACAGTCCAGTCGTCGAAAGGTAATGAACTGTGAGTTGCGAGGTTCCAGTGATGGCACTGCACTTATTTTGTTGTTCAGTAAGTCTTTCACAATCTCTGTTTCCCTGAAGCCATCAGATTCCTGACCATTTTTTGTTTTCCTTGATTGATATGGTAAGGAGATGAATCCCTTTTTGCAATCATCAGGAAAGATAGGCATTTCTTGTTGGGAAATCCTTCTTGCATTCTCAACAATCAATTGAGATTCTGCCCTGTGATTAGTTCTCAGCGTGATTGCGCAATCATTTTGTTCAAGTGCATGATAAACATCACTCAGGAAGTTTCCTGGTTCAATAGATGGTAGCTGGTTGACATCTCCCAGCAAAATAATCTGTTGGAGGGCAGTTTTCTTCAAAAGTATGTTCAGTAGGGTGGAGAAACTCTTCACAGAAATGAGTGAACATTCATCACAAACAAGGAGATTTACGTCTGAAAATTTCCAAGTAGACTCGTTTTGTTTTTCCTTTACTTCCTTAAGCCAATGGAAATAACTGAAGATTACAGAGTGTAGGGTGTATGCCTCAATGCCAGTCCGTTTCCCCAGAATTGAAGCTGCTCGGCCAGTTGGCGCTGTAAGCAGAATGGACTCAGATGGTTGCAACTTTCCAGAAGTCTCCTGGTGGTCACACTGATCACCTGACATCTGACTTTCTTCCAGCTCCAAGACTTTTGACAAAACTGTTGAAACAACATGTGTTTTGCCACAGCCACCCCTCCCTGACAGGACCACCACAGGTTTTTGGGTTATGAGGTGTGCAGCCCTAATCTGGTCTTGATCTCCATTAAACAGCTACAAGAAAATAAAGGCATATCGCTTGAAGAGTAAAACATTGACCTTTTCAGGGAAAGGTAAATACAGTACAAACCATAAATGCTTTTGATTTTCCCTTTTGCATCATTATTTACTAAATAGCAGTGTACATGGTTGGATTTTAGGAATTTTCCCCAATTTGGAGGATTGTCACCAACAAACTCTGTTACATTATTGCCCTAAATGGACCTTGATGGGTACACAGTAATAACTCAAATGCTCCCAGTTCTAAATAGATCCTTGTCCAAATTAGAGACAAAAATTCCAAATTTATCACTTGGATAAAGAAATACATTTCAAGTGGTGATGACAGTTTTAAATTATTTCCAAAATGTGAAGAGATTTGTATGACTGAGGTCCCGCCATTCTAACCAGCACCATATACATGTAAGTAAATCTTCAAATTTTATATGAAATTAAAATAAAAAGCTTAAACAAAAAACAGCACCTGGCTATAAGTAAAACTCTAGCAATTGTTTTAAAAGTGCAATACTAAATTTCAATGAAATTAGTCCTGCAATAATTCTAATTTTAAGCTGTCAATTTGAGGAAGGGATCTTTGTCATTATGAAAAGAAGACATGTCTAGTCTCCTTTTGTTTATTGCTTGAATATTGACGAACCAGTCCACCCCTGTTTGATTGACAGTAACATGTACTTACCTTTTCATCTATCTCCATGTAATTAACCCAAGGCATTCCATTCCTGACAGTGCAGATATCTCTAACAATGCTTTTCTCATAGCCATGGATATGCGGTAAAAACACTGAGCATTCATCTTCAAATGTATTACCGGAAATTCCCACAGCATGAATCTCCAAGAGATAAGTTAAGCTTTCATCCCACTTGGTTACCTGATAAGGTCCAGGTGCAACAGGCTTGTTGTACCACCTACCACATTTCAAAAGACACAGAGGCACAAAGGTGTGACCCTCTTTATAGGTTAACTTACATAGGGCATTGTAAATATAGAGGGCATCACGCTTCACAACTGGCATAGCTGTAAGAAGTCCACAGTCAATAAATGCAGCCAACTTGGCTTCGCACCCTGAAATGCCAAACTTTCCTTGAAGGACCTTTTGGTAGCCAAGAATCCAAGGTTCATTTCTAACTGCTTGCTCAATGCATTTTAGCACTTCAAGGCTTGTTGATGAGAATAGTGCATCTGTGTGATGAGGAAATAACCGATGAGCAATCTTTGTAAGCTCTGGTACTAAGAAAGCTTTCCCTGTGGCTGAGAAAAAAATGGAAAAATATTTATGTGATGCAATATATATATATATATATATATATATCATGTTTAATTTCCATGGTTTTCTATGTTAGACCTTTTTATAGAAGACATACCTCATCCAACAATCATAAGAAAATCTATATCAGAGGATGACAAGATAAAAGTTACAGATGTAGCTGTGAAATATATCAGTATCTGAGCAACTGCTCACTGACATGTACCCCTCCTAAAACCCAAACACAGTCAACTGATAACAAGTAAGGGTTAATGTTGGGTTAGGGGAGGGATGGGTGCTCAGTTGCACAGATACTACAACTGTGCACCTACCCCTCCCCTAACCCAATAACAGTCAACTGATAACAAGGGTTAATGTTGGGTTGGGGGAGGGATGGATGCTCAGTTGCACAGATACTTTCAATGATCCATTGTTTATCCCAGCTGGCACTTTTAAAGGCAAATGACCACCACAGACCAGTTGATTCACATTTCACTTGTTATCACCGAGATATATTTAACAGGTGTAAAAAGGAAACAATTGAAACACTCTTCAACAGTGGAATAAAGAAATTTTCGTCCAGCCAGTTCGTTACAATCTTTTTGTTTGTATAAACTGGTGTTTGGGCTTTATTTCAGGTTTGTTTATACCTTTTGAGACTTCACTGCTCTCAGCTTAAACATGGCAGAGGCCCCTCCAGTTCCAGGAGTGGAAATATCCATCAATTTTTGTTAATATCCCTTCCCCACAGGCTTTAACATGTGTTTGACAGAGTGGCATTGAGGATGCTACTGGGTCCCCAGAGGTCAACCCCCCTGGATGGCTGCTGATAACCACAATACACCCCAACAACAGTAGGCATAATCTTTGTACTGTTCTCTACCTCTATAAATCCTGCAGTGCTGATAAGAAGAATTTTTCTAAGCAAATCGAGCCTCATTAATTTGTGATAATTTCCTTCCTTCTTATGACCTTTCAGTTTATGTTTGATTCCCTCAAAGACTATCTCTTTACACTTTGAGTAGTAACCAAAAGCATTCAAATAAAAACTGATCTTGTTAACTATATTGGTGAGCTCATAGTTCTTGAATAACCTTGGACACCAAACAGAGAGTTAAAACCTCAAATTTTAAAAAATTAAATCTGAAAGGGCTCCATTAAAACTAGCCCTGCTAAATTGGATGCCCCTGGCTAAATATGATTATAAATAAATAAATAAATAGAAAAGTAGCCGTTGAGTCATTTTGTTACTGGCTATCTAAGCCAAGCCTTGTATTAAAACAAACCTCAGAAAATTAAGCATTAGCTTCAAAGGAGTTGATACGTATATATTATAACAATTTACCAAGTGACCTAAAAATATCCTGTTTAAATCAACTTTTAAGCAATAATTAAAAAGTCATAATCTCAGGAATAGTTTATAGAAGGATATTCAATATCAATGTAACACAAGTCATATATACGTAAATGCAAATCAATGTACAGGATCTGTAGATCATAGACCATCAGACTTGTCAGTATCAGGTAATAAAGGGGGTCTCCCAGATAAGCCTTAAAAGGCTTCTGAGACTTCCTACTCAAGATTGTGTTAATTTTATTGCGGAACGAAGTGTTGTAATAACGACGATCTTGTGCAATAAAAACTGTGATCACGAGTAAATATAACCTGTAAGAATCTCCCATTGTGCCGACGCAAAGGTAGCCGTTAAGTCATTATGGCACGCCAACAACAAATCAAAACAAACCAGAGGCCAACATTCGAAATATCAACAGTCACTGTACGACTTACCCGTGGAGGTTAAACTTTTCCGAATCTGTTTGACAATATCATTGTCGATGTCACTACTGCGTTCGAATTCCGTTATGTTTTCCGATAGACAATCAAACGTCGTCCTGAGATTTCTATTTTCGAAGAAGTCCAAAATCGCAAAGGCATGTTGTTCCTGGACACGGCATCCCTGCGTCAGAAACAAAGAAATCAAAGATTTATTGACCCCATCGTCAGATCGAATGCTATAGGACGGAATGCTCTTCTGCGTTTGAGAACTTCCTTTCATTATCATTTCAGCCATCCACCAAGGGTGCGTAAACATTCGATCAAATCTAGCGCGCACAAGTTTTTCTCCCTTTGGTTGAAGTCGCCCATCCAGTTCTTTGAGTTCTCTCAGCCTTTCTGTGACATACCGGGTCCTCGATGGGTTATAGAACTTGTATCTTCCACAGGTAGTGTTAACGATGTCGTGATAATCTGGGTTCTCGAAATCTTCATTGTCACTTTCACTTTCCACTTCGGAGTCCTCTCCATCTCCGTTTGAGTTTCTTTTTTCAGGTAGAAAGTAGCCTCGAAAGCTCGCCATGATGTAAACGTCTTCCAAAGATTAAAAATTTCCGAAAAATGTATCATTCGGAACTCAAAATTATGAGGGTAAACTGCGGACACTTACATGAACAATGTTCATATTTTCCCGCGCTTCCGTATGTAACTCGTAAGGTCACGTGGTCTCTTTAAGTCACGGGAATTTTTAAGAGTTTTGTCATGCAAGAACGCTAAATATGTTAACACAGGCGGTCCAAGCTCTCTTTGAGAACCACATAAGGAACACAATTTGCATATCGATTTATAAGGATTTGTATGGGATTTTATACAAGATATCCATAGAGATAGTTAAAGGGGAAAATATTAAAAATTGCTTACCTTATTCCATACGTGTGTTGTTTGCTCCTGGTGTCGCTATTTTACCGATTTCACTTGATTTAAGCGGTTTTTTTTTAATCCTGCTTACAAACCCTTTTAATGGTGGCCAATTTACATTTACAACTCAGTTGATAAAACCAAGTTACCTTGTTACCCCCACCAACGCACCATCACAGTTTCTCTAGAAACTTACCTCCTTTATTCATTTTTTCTTTTTTAGACACAGGTTGGAGCACAAACGTACACCAACAATTTTAAAATCCTCTCGCTGAATTCGAAGGATTTCAGCCGTTCAAAGAACAGCATGCAATTATTGATGGGAACATAGATCGCAAAACGCGCGAATGGGTAAGATCTTCCTAAAAAAATTAAACTACAAAAAGTGTCTTCTCCATGTATTATTGAACCAAATTTTCCAGGCTTAATAGGTTATTACTACCACTATTTTTTTTTTTTTAACAGTATGAGGCTTCGCTGAGCATGCTCCACTATAGAGGAAGACTTAAAAATAAATCATGGGTGAAAGAACTGTAATAAGAAGTCTATAAAATAAATCACAAAAGCATATAGAAAAGTTAAAACAAGTAAAATTTTGCGCTTATTGGGCGACCAATCAGGATATATTCTGAGAGACAAATTTCCCGTTCAAATTTTCAAGGAAAAAAGAATAATATTCCAACAGTAGAACCCACCAAACAATATTTCCTAAACATTTTGATACGTCCCAGCAACGAAATCTCATTTGTAATACAAATGAACGTCGGTAACTGTTACAAACTCTAAGAACTACTTTAACTGCCGACGGGAGAGATTTCATCAACCATTTAAACCCCGATATCATCATCTTTTTGACGCTTATACTGGTCCCTTTTGCGTATCACTGGTTGAGCACTTAACATGAATCCAAGATTTGCTGGAGCCCTTAAAATGATAAATAATTTGGTCTTTGCCTGCACGAACTGGACGTTTGCAGACCTTGCAATGGCCGTTGTATTTTGCAGTAGTTCCTGTTGTAGCTGTGTTCTTATCAGCAGCTTGCTGGATTTCTGTTGAAGTCTGACTCAAGGGGCTAACAGATGAAAGGGACGATGAGAATTTCCTAAGGCACGGTGGAGTCTGCGGAGGAGATAAAAGAGTGGTACCCTCAGGGTACTTTCTTTTCAGTATCGGGCTCTGAAAAATCTTTGCGTCCAAGATTTCCTGTCCGTCCTGTTTGGTGTTTTCTGGATGTTTCCTTTTGTGGCTTGGACTTTCAACAACGACTTCAAAGCCACTATTCCACCGCTGAGGGGAACCAACAGATATCTTTTGCGGGTCTCTGGCATCTGAAGCATTTACAGCCATTTCCTGACGGTGGTCTGCAGCCAATTCACGAGAAGACCTACTTCTCTGTGAAGCAGGAGCGTAGCTCGTGTCTCCTTGCTCCTTCCAATGCTTCCTGATATTCAGATTTTTTTTTGAGATAAAAAAATCAGTTGAACATCTTAGATCGCTGGTCGAGGGTGTTGCTTGTGGAAAAGACTTCTCTGATACCCGCTTTTGGTCTTCGCCATGAGCCTCTAGTACTGAATTTACAGCGGCTTCTTTCATGTCATCAGCGGGCAGAAGAGGAAACGTATTCTCGACACCAACTCCAGAATCTAGGCCAATTTGGGCGTTGGTACTCATTCCATCATGCATATTAGGCCTAAATCGGCATCTCAAAGCTTTCTTTATGTCTTCCTTTAATTTAGTCTTACGTGGTACAGGGTGTGACGTCACGGCACGCAACAAGGAGCTATGTTTGTATATCATTATAACTTGCCGCACGCCACGGGTGACTGCTGTGTACACATGCTGCCAGTTCTGGTAACACGGATTTCCCACCACATAGACAATCGTGTCACACTCTGAGCCCTAATAAAAAAGTGGCGTTGCGTTAGATTTGATGAAAAGGCCGACCAACAGAATCCGAAAATAAATGGATCAGTATCTGAGCAACTGTCCACCCATCCCTCCCCTAACCAAACTTGTTATCAGTTGACTGTTGTTGAGTTAGGGGAGGGGTGGGCTGGGTGTAAAGTCCCTTTGTCACAGTTATTCATACCCAGACATTGACCCTTTAACATCTTTCAAAAAATAATTTTCAATGTTTAACTTTAAATCCTGAGAATACAATTAGGTTGCGATGTTTATTCCCCAACAAGTGAGCAATCACGAAATAGGCTTGCAGGGATGAAAGTGTAGTCTTTGAATTTTTCTAACTCAACATATATTGCACTCTACTTTTATGTATTCCTTTATGACTTCCTATATAATTGTGAGAAATCGTCGTAAATGCTGCTAGAAAGTGCTCAATACACGAGTGTTGCTCGAAATACTATTCAAACTGACTAAAATGAAACACATGATTCCCTGTAACTCTGAGTTTCGTGCCTTCGCACTCGTCAGACAGATTGAATATATATATAATAGATATAGAAGTAGTGTGGCACACGAGGACGGACAACTTCGAGCGAAGGAAGACATATACTCAATAAAAAGTCTAAAAAGTTTAATAAAAAACGTTTCGGTCCGAGACCTTCATCAGTTGTAATACAATGACTTAAAAATTCCTTAAATAGATTTATATAGGGCGTG